ATCCCGTCTTACTTAATGTTCACTGCTTGCTTCTTCCCGTGTGTCTCATAATTGTGGGAGATGTTGAGGTGCAGAATGGAAAATTTCTTATCTGGTAAATTCCTTTCTGCTAGCAGCATCTCCTACATTTCTACTCTCCTCGGTGTGACTTCAGTAGTCAAGGGACAATATTTATTTGTGTACGGTTTGTGGGCCAATTAGCCTGCTGTGCATAGGTCCTAGCTGGCATTGATGATATTGTTATCAATCATATTATGATGGTTTCTACGCAGCTTTGGAATTACTCATCTGGTAGAAAGCTGGAGAAGGGGGTATATGGCCAGCACAGTCCATGCTGCAATGCTGAACCGCTTCTGGAATTGCAGGGGGGAGGGGAACAGCCCCACATGTCACAGATTTGTAGGAGAGACTGCTAGCAGAAAAGAAATAATCAGGTAAGAAACTTTCCATGACTGAACAGTTGATTAGTAAATTATGAATATACACACTGACATCTTCAGGGATAATGCATTGGATTTATTTCTATTGAAGAGTATATTTTCTAAATCAAACTACTTAAAAGTGACGTATCCCATTTTTAAGGAAGAGGAATTATGTATTTAGTAACTCAAGTATTTGTAATTATTGTTTAATTGTCTCTAAATCATATCATATTTCCATAATCTCTTCTATAGGTTCTGCTCTCTAATCCTTTTAACACAAACATAGCTTTAATAAGTCTGCATAGAAGGCAATTACTATCTCCAATATTTTTAGTGATACCCCTTGTATATAGTATTTTTGGCGACAGCATCACTTCAAGATCATGTCTAATTTATTTGCAAGCAGTGTTCTAAATTCTTCATTGCGTAACTGTGTTCTAAGCAAGCTGTCTGTTTCACATTTTTGCCGGGTATTAGAATTCCGTGATTATTTAATTTTTTTCCAAGGTGCTGAGCACCTGCAGTTCCCGTTGACTTCAGTGAGATTTATTTGTGCTCAGCACTTCTAAAAATTATGCCAACAGCATATTACATGTGCTGATAGAAACTAAATCTTTCTATTGTGTTTGCCTGTGTCCTTAAACTCCCAAGATTTTCTATAATCCATCTCAGATTAACTTGATTGCCTTTTAGTTAGAATAAATAAAAAAGTGATTATGTATCTGTACTGTATTTGGCATTCAGTGAATATACAGCATATTTGGAGTTTAGTGAAGCATTTGATACTTGTTAGAATATAGATCAGCGATCGGCCATCTTTGGCACACGGCTCGCCAGGATAAGCACCCTGCAGCATCCTCAGGTTCGGCTGATTGCAGCTCCCACTGGCTGCGGTTCGCTGCTCCAGGCCAATGGGGGCGGCGAGAAGCGGCGTGGGCCGAGGGATGTGCTGGCCGCCGCTTCCCACCTCTTCCCCCCCCCCGCCCATTGGCCTGGAGCGGCGAACCGCGGCCAGTGGGAGCCACGATCCCAGTGATATAGATATTCAGGCCTGCCTGTAAAGGCCTATACTTTAAGAACTTACGTGTATTTTTATCACTTAGCTAGTTATAGAGGAATAAAACAAAGAATCAAAATCACACGTCCACCTGTGTATGGGCCTTCTCTCACTAGGATAGTCTGAGGCCTTCTTCTTAGGCTAAGGCCTTTGGCTAAGCAGCAGGGGCAGCCATAAGCTGGGAAGCGTATGGTCACATCCTCGCATTCCAAACCAGTCACACTGAAAGAAGGTGGTACTGGGCTGTTAAGTGCCCATCACCACCAGATAAAGAAACAAATCTTAAGATGGTTAAAGAAAACTTAGTTTGATAGCATCCTGTCGGGCAGAAATCACTTACCAGTGGTTGTGGTTGTGAAACCCTCATTTCTGTATTGTTTTATCTTTATGGCCCCTACTTTTCTATTGTTAATCTATCTGGTTGTTTCTGTCTGCTGTTTAATTAATTTTGCTAGGTGTAACTTAATTAGGGTTTTGGTATATAATTGGTTAGAGAATTATGTTACAATATGTTAGGATTGGTTAGTTAAATTTCAGTAAAATTGGTTTTGAAGTATAACTGAGAATATTACCATATTAACTGGGGTCAAACAGGAAGTGGAGGGAACGGAAATTGGAATCGTGTTTGCTAAGGGGGGGAAATGGGGAAAAGGGACACAGGCAAGGCTCTGCGGCGTCAGAGCTGGGAAGGGGCACATGGGGTAAATGCTCTGCAGAGCTGGGAATGGTGCACTGGGGAACAGACTCTATCGGCCTATAGAGATAAGCCCGGCTGGTGTGAAGGGCTTCAGAATATGCTTGCTTGGAAACTAACATCGCATTGTCTGTACTTCAGACTTCTGATATTTTGCTGTTTGCTATCTGCGTGACAAGAACCAGGGAAGTGGGAGGGTGAAGGGGAAAGCCCTCTAACAATACTGTTTAATGAAATCATAATATCTCAAAAATAAATCAGTTTATCTTGGGTAGAAACATTGTGGATTTGAGTGTCTTATCACAGTATGAATATAGTCTAAAAGACCCACAACACAGATGCAGCTGGCCCGGGTCAGCTGACTTGGGCTCACAGGGCTCAGATTCCAGGGCTATAAAATTGCACTGTAGACATCTGGGCTTGGGCTGGAGTTCAGGCTCCAGCACAGTCCTCTGTTGCAGGTTCTCAGAGTCCAGGCTCCAGCCTGAGCCCAAATGTCTACACTGCAGTTTAATAGCCCCTCAGCCTGAGCCCGAGTCAGCTGACCTGGGCCAACCATGAGTCTTTTATTGCAGTGTAGAAATACCTTTAATGTCTCATTAAATAAAAGATAATGATAAATGGTAATGTATCAAAATTGGTGGAAGTGCCGTAAAATGTGGTTGTACTCTGTAAACTGACTATAAAAATGGAATTGTGGGGCCCCTATTTACCTCTTAATGACTTCAAAATCAGGGCTCTAAGAGAGAACCATGTGATCCAATGTCACCAAGTCACACCACAATGCACAACCTTAACTCAGTCATCCAATGTAATATTGTTTAATAATTAAGTTATAATAGCATTTCCACATTACGCACCAGAGAGAAAACACATTTTATTACATATTCAAAATTTCTTGACTTACTATAAGCACAGAGTTCCGCTGTTTACTACGAGGCACTATGAGGAAGTATGGCCTAAAGGTCTCAGGATAGTTGTGTTCTAATTCCAGTGCTGCCACTGGCCTGTTGTGTGATCGTGGGCAAATCACTTTGCCTTTGTGCCACATTTTCCCCTTTAAGTAAAATGAGGTTAATGATACTGACCTCCTCGTAAAGCTCTTGAGATCAACTGATGAAAAAACTCAGTAAAAAATGTATTCCGCAGCCATTGACTCCATCTCTTGGTTAATTTTTGCCACAGAACAGTGCCCTTGTGGTATTGAGAAATAACCTGAAAAATTTGAACTGGCTGTAGAACAATGCAATGTTGTTTTCCTGTGTCTACAAATCGCTTGAACAGTGTGATAGATGTGAATTTTTAATCATCCCAATGGATTGTTAACTTTGGAGTGTGTGAAGATGACCATTTCATTGTTAACGTTAACTATTTTAGTGTTGATCATTCTGGCAGTTACATGCAGCTAATGCATTTATACAGCAATCCCAAACTGCCACCTTTGCTTCCCCAGGTGTCAAAAGCCCAAATGTCCCCTACTCAGCTGCCAAAACCTCCAGCTTCCCATGACCACTTTTATGATGCATTTATTCCTTGTCAGGACAGAAATCTGTGGCATATTGAAAACTGAAAATGTGGGGACAGCATAAAAGGTAGAATTTAATATAAAAATAAACAACATAATGGCTGTTGTCTTAGTCTTTTTCATATTTAAAGCATTAAAAGCCTCCTTTTAATTGAAATGAAGACAGAATTTTCTAGTCTGTTGCACCAGATGACTGAAGAATCCAGGTCCAGCATGCTGTTAGAGTACTTGGAGCTGTGGCTACATTATTCAAAAAAAATCTAAAGTACTATAACATAATAAACAAAACCATATAAAATTTTGTTGTTAATTCATATATTCATACAGTTTCATGTGTATACTGATAATTATATGACAAAATAACCAGTTGCCAGCTTTGAGTTCAGATTATGTATTGCAATGTGATTTTCAGTTCTTGGTTCTGTGTGTTGAGTGACAGTACTGTTAGACTGAAAATGAACGGGTTACATAGATTATTGGAGTGTTAACGTGAGTGAGTGTAGTGATGATAGCGAGCTGATGCTTGAAGATCACTATATTGTATAAAGTGTGAATATTGTTTTAGTCTATGCTTTTCTTTTTATTGTTTGCATTCTAAGGAAATACACCTGAGCAATAGTAACTCTAATGGTATGTCTACACTGTGGTGGTAAACCTGCAGCACTGAGTCTCAGAGCCTGGGTCAGCTGACTCTGGCTTGCGGGGCTTGGGCCGCAGAACTATAAAATTGCAATGTAGGCATTCAGACTTGGGTTGGAACTTGGACTCTGAGATCCTGTCCCGTCACTGGGTATCAGAGCCTGGGCTCCAGCCTGAGCCTTCAACATCTACACTGCAATTTTATAGCCACACAGTCCAAGCCCCATGAGCCTGAGCTGTCTGACTTGGGCCTGCCGTGGCCCTGCTTGTGAGTCTTTTATCATGGTTTAGACATACCCATAGCCAAGGATTTTTGTGGGGGCTTATGTAAAAGGCAAAAACTAAATACAACTCCATGGCTACTTGTGATATTTGAGTTTTTAAATGCTGATAAGCAGCCACAGCGTTACATATTGTGAGATAAGAATACAAAGAATTATATGTAACCTTAAAGTTGTGCAGGGGATATATTCAGGTAAGTTTGATAGTTTAGATAATAGTGTACAGGGTAACCTGAATTTGTCTGAAGCACCAACTTTTTTGCAATTACTGCTGTTTCAGTTTTAATATATCTTGTAACTTTAACTGATTCTGGAAAAAAAAAAATCTATAAAAATGACTCTGTTCCTAAGCATTGTTTTAACTTTTAAAACTTTTTTCCAGGATGCAAGCTGCTATATAAACAAGATTTTGCAAGACGGTTAGGATTGAGATGTGTTACTTGTAATTACTGCTCACAACTCTGTAAAAAGGGAGCTACTAAGGAACTTGATGGTGTAATAAGAGATTTCTGCAGTGAAGAGTGCTGTAAAAAATTTCAAGACTGGTACTTCAAGGCAAGTAACTTAGAATTTTTGCCAAGAGCTCCAAAGTGTAAAAAGACAAAATGCACTTGAGGATATGTTCAAGGACTGTCTAGGAAATATGGCTTACTTCAGCACAGCATTTGCAACACAATAATCAAATGTTCTTTCCATCATTTCAGTTTTCTCATAACTTAGAGCAGCATTTCTACCTGTCTGTAACCCAAGTTTCCCTTGCCAAGTGGTTTACTAAAAAAACTAATAAAGAACTGCAATATGTTTGTTACTTTACAGTTGCAAAAAAAGCTGCTTCATCCACAATTGATAGAAATACTTTTGCCAATCAAAAATTATTTTAATTTATATTCAAAATGTTGGTAAAAAAACCATTAATGGTAGCTGACTGGTACCTCAAACAGACTGATGATAAATTAGGTTAACGGAGTTCTTTCTCTTTGTTCTTGTTTTTGCTTGTCCCCTTCTTCCCCTGTTTGTGAACTTCAGAGGCTTTAATTGCTCAGTATTTCCCAGTGCAAAGGATGCCAAAATGGAAAAATGAGACCAAATGGATTTCTTATAAAAGTGTAAAGCAAATGTGATGACTTCTTTTTTTAATTCCCTGGACGTTTAACTACTTTGTCATGCACAACCAGCCAAGATTATACCTTAAGAGCTTTTGGGAAAGAAGTTAAAGTGAAATTAGACTGGTTTTAACTTGCCATTGGTACCATGGATAAAATATTTGATCTCTGGTGTGAACAGCCTGGAAAACTACTTTGTTATACCAAAACAAGAGCTACACTTGTGGATGCAATGCAAAAAACAAAGGATTACAAAATTCATCACCTTTCCAAAATTGTCTACACAGCCTGGAAGTAAGGCAATAAAAAACATGAAATATTAGAGGTCCGGGTACAGTCCAGTTATCCAAGATGATAAGCCTTCCAAATAGAACCAAATCTGAAGAGATATTTGATATTTTTGAATGGCAGTTTCCAGAGGTTTTACAGCCAAATATTGTACAGTCTTTATTTAGAATAATGTATGTAGGGTACAGTTAGGAATCCTTGAAAGAATACCACTGCAGACTACTGTGTTGATGTTTTTTCCTGTGCTGTCCCCTGTAAAAGATTGAGGCTAAAAACTGGCTGCAGGTTTAAAAAAAGTTACTAAAGACATTATTTAATACATTATATTAATTGGATGAATAAGATTTTAAACTGAGTGTAAGGAATTCAAATTTATCCCATATATAAGAAGTGCCTACTGATATGAAAATCTATTGCAGCCCTGCTATACTTGAACCAATCTCTTGGTTGGGCATTCACCTGACTGGCTTAAAATATCCAAACTTCCATGGAGATGGGATTCTGATTTGGGTTTGGGAATTACTTAAACTATTATTTCAGATGCACTTCTATCTGTGTGATAAGGATATGCCTTAGATGGGCCAATAAGTCTGCTTAAAAGAATTGCTGTACTTACTGTGATACAAGGAACTGAAATTTTCATTATAGTGCCTTTGCCTTGGTTCCGTGGTGTGGGAAAGGCAATGTAATTTAAGCAGCCTTATTGGTAATTAGATGCTTTTGATAGTATTGTTGGTCTTAAATTTTGTCAGATATTTTTATATTTTGGGATCTTACACTTCTGATTGAAAATTAGTGTTATGTAACACTGTTGAATTGTTAATTGTTGCAGTTGCATTGTTTTTTTGATGCTACTTAATGCCTTTTCCTAATTCAGTTACGGTTATAAAGTTTGGTTTTTTTCAGTGGGGAAGACATGCATACATTCACAGGGTTTTGGAAATTCGTGCATCTTGCTGAAAGTCTCTCTCTGCCTACACTTGCCAGATGTCTTTTTTTTAATTAAAATTTTAATTTAAAAAAAAGGCCACTGCATGTATCTTTTTTGGGTTTTTTTGCATTCTACAGTTACATTATATAAATTTTAACTGTTAGTTAATATCCTTTCCTAACTAAAGGATAATTTTAAAGATAATTTTAAAATGTAGGAAGAAAGAATGGACAGATGTTGACCCCTTCTGTTCTCCCCCCCCCCCCCCCCCCCCCCCCGATTTGTACTTCATTTGCTGTTTTGTCTTTAAAAAGGTTAAAAGAACAGTTATTTATGCTTGAGTTGTTAGTCTCACTTACGCAATGTCCAATGTTATACTGGAGTTTCAAGAAATTTAAATATATTTAGTTAGTAAAATAAGTAGTAATGACCTAATAATGTTTAATACCAGCATTATGTTCATTAAACAAGAGTTTATTTCCATTTTCTTTGTTGTCTACTTTTTTAAACTGGAAAAATTTCTCATGTGTATTATAATTAGCAGGTTAGGGGCCTCTTAATTTTTACATGAAATTAATGCTCACGAGAGACCTCAGAATAGCAACCCTGGAGGATAAAATCCTCTCTTCAGATAGCAAGTATGGCAAAGGCAGCTGTATGTCAAGGTCCCCACCCTGTCCAACTCTATCACGAGTCAACCCAGATCTGGAGGTTTGAAGGGTAAGAGTAGCTCAGTCCTCGTCATTCTTTGCTGAGACCTACAAGCTTGTCAGTGCCAAATGTAGTGATAGCTCTTGCAATATGGATACTTATCTAGTCAGAAAAGTGTAATCTGAAAGTGAAGGATTTTGTATCCTGAGGCCAACTCCCTAAATTATTGAATCCCTTTATGCTAATATATCAGTGTAATTACATCTATTGATACAAAAGCAGTGGTTTGGATATAATTCAAAAGAGTAGCTGTGTAGATGAGAAATATAAAAGGTAATCTTACTTAGTTGATTTGTGATACTTGGCCACAGTTCCAATAAAGTAATTTGATTTTACTGTAAAAGAGCACTGGCTGAAAAAACTAAGGATGATAACTTAAAGGGTTTTCCTCAATTCTGAGGGCTAGTCTACACTGGCAACGTGGCCTGTGTAGTCGCAGCAGAGCACTAGGAGAGAGCTCTCCCAGCGCTCTAAAAAAAATCACCTCCACAAAGGGTGTAGCTACAAGTGCTGGGAGCGCGGCTTCCAGCGTTGGCGCACTGTCTACACAGGCGCTTTACAGCACTGAAACTTGCTGCGCTCATTGGGGTGTTTTTTCACACCCCTGAGCGAGAAAGTTGCAGCGCTGTAAAGTGCCAGTGTAGACAAGCCCTAAGTTAGAAATAAAAATGGTTTTTCTTTTAATATAGCTTGTGCCCATATTTAGAGGGTGACTCAAATTTACCATGGGTTAATGATTGGGCTAATCATGTATAGTGATAACAGTGAAAGTATTGAGAGGAATTATTTCAAATGTTGACTAAGTATACTATACATCACAACTTCTTTGTGTGTGTGGTCTTTCATACAAGCAGTATTATAAAATGCTTTAGAGTTGAATACAGTTTACAGTGTTAAATAAAAGTAGGTAGAAAAATAGGTTGAAAATTTAAGCATAGCTAAGGGAGAAAAGATACACGTTGAACTGAGACTTGAAAGGAGTTTGAGAGTTGCAGGGGCAAAGACATAGGTAAACTATTCCAGAAGGCAAGATGTCAGAGAGAGGAAGTGAATGTAGCATGAACGAGGGGCGGCAAAGAGACTGAAGGACCCAAAGCAGTTTGGAACAAGTTCATGAAGCACATTTGTTTTTTAAAAGAGAAACTGAAAACTGTTCTCAAGCCCAGTGAGGACAAGTATAGTTTGAGACTGGGGATAATAATGCATTTACACTTTGTACACGTGAGAAAGCAGACAACTATGTTTTGTACATGCTGGAGTTAGAGAATTGGAACTTGGGGAGGGAGCTATGACAATCAAGGCAAGAAGGGAGTCAAGAATGGATAAAGATTTCAGCAGAGGTGGAGCCAAGGCTGAGGCATAGACGGACAATATTGAGAAAGTGATGATAGGCAGATATGCAAATAGTTGTGGGAATTCCCGGTCAAAGATGCTAATGTTCTAGATAGAGATAGATGGAAGGAAGGGAAACGGGAGAGAGAGGAAACAGAATTGTTTGAGACAACGGTGCAAATGTATTTGGTTCAGGGAAAGGGTGTTTATAGGGAGGAGTTATTAAAAGTGTAGAAGGCTATGTGGGATTGAGTAACTAGTGTGAAAGAGATAGCTGAGGTGTAAAGATAAAAGAAGGTAGAAAATCGTGGAGATGAAAATTGAACCTTGAGGAACACTATGGAGAAAGGCATCTTGGGACGAAGTTGGAGCTCCTGCCAGAGACAGTATAGCTCGATAGGTAGAAGCAGAAACAAATGTCTCTGCATAAAGTAATTATGGGGCAGTCCTAGAGGGTAGAATGGTCCATATGTCAAAGATTTCACTGAGGGGGGAGAAGAGCAAGGAGGGAGAAATAAATTATCAGCAGAAAGAACGCTTCCACTGTATTTTGCAAGATCTGGTTCCTTATATTTGCAATGAGGAATCAGATGGGGGGAAAGAAAGGTGTACTGCTATCGTCAAGCTCCATCTACAAGTCCAAAGTAGATGGATCTTTCTACTAAACTGGTCAGCTGAGAAGTTAGTGTAATAGTAGCATTAAGAGGCATATGAATTAACACCTGTTGAAGAGAAATGGAGCAGTTTGCAACTCTCAGAACTAATGTTTCAATCTTTCTGTTGACTCTGAAAGAGAGTGCTTGCATTGAGTCACATCTAGAAGGGTTGGAAACACTTTTAATGCAAGTATTTTCAAAAATAGATGCCTAAAATTCAATTCCTAAGTCCATAGACAAGCACCTTAATATTTCAAAATCTTGGCTCAAATTTTATGTTCCACAGAAATTCTCACAGGGTCACTAGAGAATGACACCAAGCCGCTAATTCAAGCAGAAGAGACTAAATACTGTACCTGATACACATACACACTATACACATAAACACACACCACTTAGTCTCTTTTGTGCTTTAACTAATTGGCCTGGTGTCATTCTCTCATTACCCTGTGAACACTAATGGTGCAAATTTCAATTCCTCAGCAATCAGTTCCTCATATGTAACTTCAGTGCTATATGTCTCTTGACCAATTATCATATCTGTTGCACTGTGTACTACTTACACTGGAAAACCCATTTAATCTCATTCAACAGATCTATCTGGTTTAAGTACCCTTAAACCTTGTATTTTCCCTCCTCTGTTTTTAGTATCATTTGGCACGCAGGTGTCAACAGATGTGGAGAGCATTGTGGTTATGAGGATTTGCTTGCTTGCTGAGGGACTGCAACTGGCACCATCAACATTCATATTATAACTTAGGTTTCCTTTCTAATTAATAAAGCTTTCATTGAAGTGAATCAGTCACACTATCTTTGGGTGGCATAGGTGCCCAAGTAAAGTTGTCATGCTGTCTGATGTATACATAATATAATGCAAAGCTAAGGGTGGAGACCTACAAGATTCCATTTAGGAGCTTCAGTTATGTGCTAATCATTGGGTTCCTGACCAGAAACACTGAAATGGCAACTTGAGCTTCCTGTTAGATTTGCAAAATATATATTTGTATTGCTCTAAAACTGGTGAAACTTAAATTAAACAATCATATTAATATTTATTATTTATAACAATTTTACTACTACTGCTATAGCCCAAAGTAGATAAAGACACAAGGTCCCTTCACCAAGGAGCACACAATATAATTCAAATACAAAACATTGGACAACAATATTGTTGCTTAATTACTATTTCATTGTGGATTGGAAAGAATCCTTACGGAGGTCTCAATCTCTGTCCTTCTCTCTTGTTTTGCAGAGTGTTTCAGTGGACTTTGTTAAAAATGGTTCCATGACATATAGATATCTTGCTGAATATGCAGAGATGGGCTAGTTTTATGGACTTAAAAACATGTAAACAAATGACGCCTGTTGATCCTTTTTTCAGTTTTATATAGTTGAAAACCAAATGACTAATGTGTCTATACGTACAGATCAGAAGGTAACACAAATGTTGTGGAACTAGCAAAGTAGCTGTCTCAATTGAAAATGAAACTTAACTGTTTAAAAGTACTCTAGAATCAATGATAAATAGCCTCATCATTAAGTATCCTTTTAAAATGTAAAATGTTTAGTTCTTTTTCTGAGGTTTCTTTCTTTAAAAAATGTCAAAATCTCCCTTTCTGTTAAGGCTGCCAGGTGTGACTGTTGTAAGTCTCAAGGAACTCTCAAAGAGAAAGTACAGTGGCGTGGAGAAATGAAACATTTCTGTGATCAGCACTGCTTACTGCGTTTCTACTGTCAACAAAATGAACCTAATATGGCAACACAAAAAGGACCTGAAAATTTGCATTATGGTATGTGATGTTTCATAGATCATAAACAGCAGAACTATACATTCATTACTCTGAAAGGACATTTTTTTTTTATTTACAAATTTCAGTTGTGGCTCAATATTTTTCACTCAGATGACATCTACAAGCAATATGAACTTGTATTTACAAAGGAGAGACTTCTGTTAAATGAGAAATCAGAAATTGATGAGATTATATATTTTTCTTGCGATAAATCCTAGAGGCACCAGCCCCATTGTGCTAGACACTGTCCAAACATTTGTTTTACTGTCAGAAATTTGCTTATTGTGCCATTTGTATTGGATTTTTAATGTTAGCTTTTTGTTTTATTGCCTGTTTTGAGAGTGAAAAGTTCTGTAACTTGTCAATTATTCTGATTCTGTGGACAGGTATTCAGTACATTGCATGGGTAGAATTAAACACACAATTTCTGTTTAATGTTAAAGAAAAAAGAGACTAATTCCCAGCGGATCATGCTAAATAATTGCCCTTTACTGTACGTTTGTTCATATAGAAAACTTACTTGTACTACAAGCGTCACAGTTTGAAGGTCAGCTCTGAGGCCAAACACTGGTTAAAGAAACCAAGTAATCTCAAGAGGAGAGGGAATAGTAGAACACACTTACACTCACATTAGCTTCTCTTCAGCTCCAGTGTAATTTTGCATTTAATATGGTGGATAGGGGGCAGGGAACCCTCTCTTCCTCCCTCACTCCCAGTTTGTCTTTGCTTGTACTTTGGGGTCTTTTCCTTTCCAAGTATCCTTAGATCATGGGGAGAAGGGGGGATACCAGGGATTAGAGGTGAAAACATTAAAAACATGTTTTTCTCACGTGGGAACTCAACTTGCAACATCTTTTTGAATTGCACAATGCTCTCTTGCTTTAATACAAGGAGGCAGCTAGATCCTTAGAAAGAGCAGGAAGCTCATGTGCATGTGGAGATCATAGTGATACTTAGGGGCTTGTCTGCACACAGGAATGACACCAGTTTAGTTAAATCAGTTTTTAAATCAATTCATTCAGATTGCTGCAGCATCTTTGTGTGTACACTTTTAAATCTGAGTGGTCACTATTAATTAAGCTCAATTTAAGATAAATTGAAATAAGGTAGTCTTAAACCAGATCGAGATTGAGCTCACATGGGTATTGCACTGATTTAACTCAGTGGATTTAGAAACCTGTGTAGTTAAAAGGGTGTAATTTCTGTGTGTAGCCTGGGCCTAGGACTGAACACAACTGTCATAAGCAGTTGGCTGTGCTTGTCTGGTAATACTGTGATAAAGGAACCGTCTTAATTTTTGTTGTTGTTAAATTTATTTTATGTACTTTTTATATAAACTGATAAAATAAACACTGTTAATTTTGAATCTCTTTACATTTTAGATCAGGGTTGTCAAATTTCCCGAACAAAAATGACAGTAAGTATATAAAATATAATTAGATATATTAAAATGACATTTTGAACTTTTAAAGAAACACCAACAAAATAAGTAACATTTTTAAATGATTAAAATAGAAAACATTAATCCAACTTTGGGGTTTTTGTTGTTTTTTGTCATCATGATCAGTGAAACTAAATTGGCTAGCTTAAGTTATAAAAACAAAATTTTATTCATATGTCTTTTTAAATCACTTCCACTAAAACAAACTACTGGGTATTTTCTTGCTGAATTACGTGAGAGTATCCCTTTAAAGATAATTCACAAGAAAATATAGTTTTTGTATGTTTTGTGTTCCTAATGAATAGGTGTATATAATAAATGCAGAAGGAAAAAAACCCACTGATTAATTAGCATTTTAAGGTTATGACCCATTTTGGAAAGGCAGAAAGTCCCTCTGATTATGCAAATAGTTATTATCAGAAGTACAGTCACTGCTACACAGAGTCCCATTGACTACATTTAGACTTTATGTGGGAATAACTGAGTAACTTTTTGCAGGACTGATGCCTGTGTAGCGGAGAACAAGGCACAGCATAAATGGAGCATGGAGTAACCTCAAGTTTGAATTTTACTAGGTTGTATCAGATTGTCACAAAAAGGGGGTTTAATAATGGTCTCTTCTTCCAGATTACCTTGTTTTAATTTCACACTAATTTATTTTTCTCTCTCTTGTTGAGATCTTCGGGATGCTTATTTTCCAACTAGAATAGATTATCTCCTTCAGATTCCTTACTGTTATAGAAAAATATATTTAGGCTTGTATAGAGCTAAATGTTACTTTATTATATATCTCTATCTTAATTTATATTTAGTTTATGTATAAATGTGTATGCATTAAACTTTTAGGGATTTCTGTAGTAATTGGAGATGTCAACCATAAGCCATCTTGATTAAAATTTCTGAGCACATACATAGAAAACTGCTTCTAGACGCATTGATTCAGTCCACAGTTTTAAAATAAAAAGCAGCTAAAAGCCCTCATTACTTAACCTTTACTTGTTAGGAAGTAAATTGCCAACTATTGTAGTATTTTTTTAAATATTTTACTATTTTATAATATCCATTTGGAAGTCTTAAGTATTTCCTCTACTGATTTTAATTCACACTGCCATGTATACGTGAAAATCTGTTTTGAAGAGAACTCTGTTCATCAGTGGGTTTATTTTTAACAGCAATTGAAACTTATGTAGTGTTCTGTCATGCAAAACCACCTTGATTTATTGATCATCACTTTTAGTGCATTTCTAGAAATAGAGTTGGATTACTGCTCTAGAGCCCATATTGCATATTTTTAAGATAAAAAAAACAGCAGTGGAATGCTGAAATTAAAAATAAAAATTAGAATTGAAGACTTTTCATTATGGATTATTATACCTCTAAAGAAGGTCAAATTTTAAGCCTAGAGCCTTTCAATTGTGTTGTTTTTAATAAAGTAGTTTAAAGCTAGAGCTTTTAAAAGTTGTAAACCAACAAGTCAATTTCTTGATGCTTTCATAATGTAACAGCAGTGAAGTCAATGTTGTAGTTTAAACTAAAATTTAAAAGTTAATTCTGAAAGTATTAGCCCAGAGCAAATAAAATACAGGTGTATTATGCTTCTGACAGAAGAAGCTCATTTAGAAATACAAAACAACTTTTAACTAAAGAGCAGTCACCGGTGCTGCTGTGTTTTGCTTTCTTTTCCAGGACTTATATATGTTTAGAACACAAATATTGACTGGTATCTGAAATCAAAAGCTGTAACAAATCAATAATGATGCAATTGTTTGCTTGTCTGTAGGGTTCAGTGCCACCCCCTTCTCCAACACTTAACAAAGAGATGAAGAACAAGGCAATTCTTTGCAAACCTTTGACAATGACAAAAGCTACATACTGTAAACCTCACATGCAGACAAAATGTTGTCAGACAGGTAACTAGTGAATATTAGTAGAAGTAACTGTTCGTTCATTTCACCTTTAATGTATTTGAATTATATTGGCTTGAAATATGCTACAGAAAGTTTAACTTTTCCAAGCTATTCTTGTAAGAGACTTTTAAGTGCCTTTCTATAATTTGGCTTATTTTTATAGAAGATGATTGGAAGAAAGAATATGTCCCAGTGCCTGTTCCTGTACCTGTTTATGTTCCGGTGCCTATGCACATGTATAGTCAAAATGTTCCTGTTCCGACAGTGGTTCCCGTTCCAGTAAGTCATGCCTTATTTTTAAGCTGAATTGCATTCAACTTTAGCTAAGAGAATAATTTGTATTATTAATTATTTTGCATGTTACAGTCATTAGTACTGTGTTGCTTGAGTGGTGCTGCAGCACTTTTTTTTTAGGTAGAACAGTACTTTGCTAGTGACACTTCAGCTTCCTCACCATTCTTCAGTAAGCAACCTGCCTGCTTGCATATACGTAAGCTCTTACAGTGCTGTTTTGCTCCAGCAACAGTTTTGACTGGTGCATCTCTGCTGGGTGGTCAAAGATGGGGAAGTGAAAGATTGTGAGGGATGGCAGAGGGAGACTAGCAGGAGGGAGTAGAAGCAAAGAGGGAATGACAGGGTTGCAGTGGAAACCAGGATAAGATTTGGATTTCAAAATTTCTAGCAAATTAAGCTTCTTAATGGTTACCATTTACATAGCATTCTACATCTTCTATGTGATTTACTCAAGTGATAATCCTCACAACGCTTCTTTGACTAGGAAAGTAAAAAGAATTTTCCACATTTTACAGATGGGGAAATTGAGGCCACCAAAAGAGGGTAATGACTTGTCCAAGGCCACAAAGAGTAGGTAGATAGTCAGACCTGGGATTAGGAGTCAGGAGTCTCCTGGCACTGTTCTTTATTCTCACCACTAAATTGTACTACAGTACTTCTCATAGCATTTCTGTCCCTCTTTTTTTCACTCTGGTCATCTGTATTCATGGTTTTTCAACTGTCTTATCAACTGTTGGCTTTTCTGCTAAACCTTAATGAGGGCACCGTTTCCTAAGCCCTGGACTATTGAGTCTTTTAAAAGATAGATGTAAAGCTTCTGTATTTAACTCTACATCATTGGTAATCATTTGTTAACAACAAAATTTTTAAAGAGTTATTCATTCCTATCTGCTTAGGTGCCAGTTCCAGTTTTTCTGCCCACCACTCTGGATAGCAATGAGAAGATCCTTGCAGCAATAGAAGAGCTGAGGGGTAAAGTTCCTTCAAATCCTCTGGAGGCTGAGCTACTGACTATAGCTGAGATGATGCCTGAAGATGATGGAAAAACAGAGACTATGGATCTGAACAGTATGTTTTGTTGCTTTGGCCTTTGAATCCATGTATTTTTACTTCTGTGTGTATGTATCCATAGTGTTCTTATATTACAGTAATTAAATACAAAATTATTTGTGAATTCTAAAATTAATTGGAAACTTTATCTGTTTAAACAAATTTCTAGAATATTTCATCGTATTTGAGATGCAGGTAACTTTTAGAAATCTGTTCTGTGGCTTGGCTGGCAGCCATGTAGATGCTGGAATCCTCCTCCTCACTTGCTCCTAGAGCCAGGAGGATGACAAATTGTCACCCAGGATTTTCTCACTCTGTAGGGCTCCTTCCTTTACATCTCTAGTTGGACTGCTGCTTCATTTAAAAAAACCACAAATGCAGGAAAGTGACTGCTGCAGCTGGGTCCAACCACCATTTATCTATCAACCAAAGGAGGCTAAAGAAAGAACAAATTAATTGTTGTTTTTGCAGTAGCACTTTCCTGTAGACACCTTACATTATTTATTAGCTGAGGGAAAAATTCACTATCTCAGTGGAGCAAGGCAGTGGCTGAAACAGTTTTTGCAATTGCGAGGAACAAAATCAGCCTCTCAGGGTGCCTAAAGCCTCATTATAAGGGGTAAATTTTTAACGGTGACAGTAATTAACCATTGCAACAGTTTTTACCAAGGTTTGTGGTGGATTCTAAATTTTTAAATCAAGATTTTAAATCAAGATTGCATGTTTTTCTAAAACATACACTCTAGGAATTATTTTGGGGAAGTTCTATAGCTTGTGCTATACAGGGTGTCAGACTAGATGTTCAAAATGGTCTCTTCTGGCCTTAGAATCTATGAAAACCTGCAAAAGCAGAGTCTCTCCCTGAAGCAGAACGAGGAAGCAGTTGATGCAATTTCTGGGGCTGTGACAGTGAAACTGCTTTCCCACCTTCTTCCCGTCCCCCCTGCCAGCTCACCTGAAGGGGGAGAGAAACTATCTCTGAGGCATCCTCAGATTCCGAGGATGAGATGATTCAAGACTTTCACCAGGAGAGGAATTTCTGCAAACTTTTCTGCCATGCACACTTTTTTTTTTCTGCCCACGTATCATGATATGTTTGTGGCTTCTAAATTTTACCAGAAAAAACCTCTCCTTCAAACAGTAACCTAAAAAGCTTTTGAGAGGTCTCCGGAAGCTTTTTTCCCAGACTTCTTCAGCTGTTTCTGCAAATTATCTAGAGACGATATGGACAAATGTTTTTGAAAAGGTCTGCTATAAAGAAGCCCAGGATCTGTGCTGTTGCAGGCAAAGCTGCAGAAAGACAAATTATATTCCCACTTTATGCTAATTTGCTTTCTGTAGCTGGTTGAGACAGCCTAGATTACACAGGTCCTGAGTTTTACAAACCTGGACTTCGACAAGAGATTCTCCATAATTAAGCAGGGCAGAGTAGGCTAACATATCTTTCTAGCTGGGAAGGAGTCATACTGGAGAAGCAGAATAGAGCGCTCCAGAACTGGAAAATCTGGGCTGGTGATTTGACATCATCCTGCAGTGAGTATGTGAGGAGGAATTCAGTGTCTGCACTGTCTTGGCAGAGCCACAAAATGAAAATTAACTGTTAAATGGTAATATAATTTTATTTTATTTAATTACAGGTGTAATAATTGAAACAGACTTGCTAAACTCTGATACAGAGATGCAGACAAGCTTGCCTGATATTCCGTATGAACCAGATCTCGATATTGAAATTGATTTTCCAAGAGGTATTTCTGCTATTCTTTCAACAAATGTTCTGAATGAAATAGTCTTTATGGTCTGGCTTCATAGTCTTTTTGGTTGTGATACATACTGTTATAACATAAGAACACCCATACTTGTCCATCTAGCCCAGTATCCTGTCTCTGACACTAGCCACTGTCAGATGTTTCAGAGGGAATGAGCAGAACAGGATAATCTCGAGTGATTCATCCCCTGTCATTAAGTCCCAGCTTTTGCCAGCTGGAAGTTTAGGGACACGAGGAGCATGGGGTTGCATCCCTGACCATCTTGACTAATAACCATTGATGGACCTATCCTCCATGAACTTATCTAAATCTCTTTTGATCATGTTGTTATACTTTTGGCCTTCACAGCATCTCCTGCAATGAGTTCCACGCGTTAATTGTGCGTTGTGTGAAAAAGTACTTCCTTGTTTGTTTTAAACCTGCTGCCTATTAATTTCATGGGTTGTTGTGTTATGTGAAGAGGATAACTAATACTTCCTTATTCACTTCGTCCACACTACTTGTGAATTTATAGACCTCTGTCGTCATCTTCAAGTGATGGTCCCTATTGTGTTCCACTAAGGGTTATGCACCAGGAGCCCAGAGCCAGAGCTTTTCAAAGTAATAGTATCCATTGGTCCACGCATGTGCCCTTGTACTGTCTCAGGATTTCGCCTGAGGCGATAAAGGGCAGGGTGGACGGACCATGCCTTCAGTTCCTTCTCAGTGCTGCGTGGTTTTAGTTGGAGCATTTGCTGTTCTCTCATCCTTGGTGACGTACTTTCTAAACTTTACAGAAAAACTGTTTTTATTCTTGTACATAGGATTTTACTGATTTTTGTAGTAATTTCTTATGATTAAGGACTTTGGGATGCAGCATTGGCCAGACAGTGGACTTTGTTGACAAGCTACTGCAGCAAGATTGTGCCCGCTTTCAAGCTGTTTTGGAGGAGTGCAAGTGGGTTGCTAGAATTATACTTGAGGCTGCGGTTGATTCTGCAGACATTCTCGTGTACAATGGCAACTGGAATTGTCATGAGGAGGGAATGCTGGTTACACTCCTCGGGCTTCCTTAGGGAGGTACAGAGCACAATTGAGGACCTCCCTTTTGATGAATCACACCTCTTCCATCAGAAGATGGATGATTCCTTGCACTCATTCAAAGACTCTAGAGCCACCCTGTGATCACTAGACATTTATACGCCAGTGCCCAAATGAAAATTTTATTGCCTGCCATTTACACAACGCTACAGAGCTCCCCAGTTCTACCACCAGCGAGTCTTTGAGACTCCACAGAAGCGCCCAAAGGTACAAAGATCCCATCCACGGGGACAGTCCTGTGAGCAATATACTCAGTCTTCTTTTAAACAATATTTCTGAGTGCATCTAAAGAACCGTCAACCACTTTGCACACCAGCACTCGTGCCAACCACCCCATTTGGGGGCAGTCTCAAACTCTTTCTGCCAGCATGAAGCACAATAACAGTGGACAAGTGGTTCCTGGTTTTCATTCAACATGGCTATGTGATTGAGTGTATGATGCTACTTCCTCCACATCCTCTGCCCCAGTCCTGTCTCAGGGACCACTCTCACGACAGTATCCTTGCCCTAAGGTGGACTCTCTTTTGCAGAGAGGAGCAGTAGAGCCAGTGCCCACAACCTTTCAAGGCACAGAGTTCTGTTCCAGTTATTTCCTGGTGCCCAAGAAGAAGGGGGGATGGAGACCAATTCTGTATCTCCAATGCCCCAACCGTTCTATTCGCAAGCCAATGTTCTTCATGGTCAAGCTTGCGGCCATCATTCCCTCTCTAGAAAAAGGCATGTGGTTTACAACTCTTGATATGCAAGATGTCTACTTCCACGTCGACATCCATACAACCCACAGACAGTTCCTGAGGTTCATGGTGGGCTCTCAGCACTTCCAATACAGGGTTCTCCCATTTGCACTTACCACTGCTCCATAAGTCTATGTGAAGGTTTTCTCTGTGGTAGCGGCTCATCTCAGATGACAGGGAGTCCTTGTCTTCCCCTACCTGGATGACTGGCTGCTAGTGGCACGGCCCAGAAGGGAAGCTCGAGAATTGACATCCCAGCTCCTTCTACTCCTCTTCTCCCTAGGGGTGAGTGTGAATGTTAAAAAATCAACTTTGCACCCTATACACGGTCCCTGGAGTTCATTGGCACACGCATTGACGCGACCTCCGCAAGTGCTTATCTGCCGAAGGACAGGTTCCAGACAGAACTGGACCTGATTGCTTCAGTGACATCCAACCCCCCGGTCTCAGCCAGAACTTGTCTTTCCCTCCTCGGTCACATGGCAGCATGCATATATGTCATGGCCTTCGCTCACCTGTGCTTTTGTTGTCTACAACTATGACTGCAGGGAGTATGCTCCCCTATGAACCAACCCGTTAACACCGTTCTCACTGTTCCACTAGAAGTAATCTCCTCCCTTTGATGGTGAACAGATTCGCTCCAGGTTTGCTCTGGAGTGTCCTTCCTTCCATCCTCTCCAAGTATGATGATAACGGATGCATCGTTCGATGGCTGGGGTGCCCACATGGGATATCACATGACGCAAGGAGCTTGGAACACTTGGGAAGCCAGGATGCACATCAACATCCTAGAATTTCGGGCGGTACATAGGGCATGCCACGTATTTTTACCTTCCATCTAATCTTGTCATGTTCTCGTTATGTCAGATGACAACACTGTGATTTGCTACATAAACAAGTGAGGAGGCACAAGGTCCCCAACGTTGTGTGCAGAAGCGATACACTTCTGGAAGTGGTGCATTGCATACTGTATCCTATTGTTGGGGACTCAAAATGTGATTGCCAATGCTCTCAGCAGGAACTTTGTGACCAACAGCAAATGGGAGTTGCACATCATGGTTGGTGATTGCCTCTCACACCAACACCAAATACATCCAGTACTGTTTCAGGGGAGGGTTCAGCGCCCATTCATAGGGTGACACCTTTGGCATCGACTGGTCAAACTGAATCAATTACACCTTCCCGCCCCTACTGCTCCTGCCCCGCATCCTTCACAAACTCCCACGTGAGAGGATAACGGCCATCCTGATTGCCAGTTCTGGTTTCCTCTTCTCCGCATGTCAAAGCATCCTCCACTCTCGCTTCTGAGGTTCCCGGTACTGCTCAGACAACACAGCGGCAGGCTCAGGCAGCCCGATCCACAGATGCTTCACCTGAGAGCTTGGTTTTTGGATGGACACCTCCGCTAGCATGGGAATTTTCTTCGGCAGTGCAAGATGGCCTCTCCAGTAGCAGGAAGGACTTCATGAGGTGATCCTAACAAGTTAAATGGATACGTTTCACTTCCCGGGCCCACCAGAAGGGTCTTGCCACTGAGGCCATGGGCATCCCAATGCTCTTAGACTATTTCCGTCTCTGAGGGCCTCGGGGTTCGCTCTCAGCTCTGTTGAGGTGCATTTAGTGGTTATCAGTGCTTTCCACCCTCCTGTGGATGAGAATTCGTTTTTCACTCAGCCTTTGACTCCCAGATTCCGGTAGGGCCTTGTACACAGATACCCTCCCATTCAGCCTATCACTCCTCAGCGGGACCTCAGTCTAGTCCTGACGGCATTGATGAACTCACCCTTTGAACCTCTGGCCTCCTGCTCACTTTCTCTTCTTTCCATGAAGGTCGCTTTCCTTGTTGCTATTATCTCTGCAAGAAGGGTTGGTGAACTGGGGGCCAAGATGGCAAATCCCCTTTTCATCACATTCCATAAGGACAAAGTCTCACTGTGCTTGCACCCCAAATTTCAACCAAAAGTTGTTTCCTGCTTCCTCCTCAACCAACCTATATATCTGCCTACCTTCTTTTCTAAACTGCTAGCCTCAAAGGAGGAATGGCAGCTTCACTCCCTTGATGCATGTAGGGCCCTGGCCTTTTACCTACAAAGGACAAGGTCATTCCGGAAGTCTCATAGACTATTTGTTGCCATAGCGGAGAGAATTCAGGGGCAGGCCGTCTCCAGTCAGAGAATCTCAAAGTCGGTCTCAGGGTGCATTACACTCCGCTATCAATTGTTAGGGCAGTCCCAACCAAGTGGGATAGGGGCCCATTCCACGAGAGCACAATCATCAACTATGGCCGTGCTCTACAAAGTGGCCTCTACGGACATATGTAAAGCAGTCATGTGGAGTTTAGTACATACCTTTTCTTATTATGCTCTAGTCCAGGGATCGGCAACCTTTGGCACTCAGCTCGCCAGGGTAAGCACCCTGGCGGGCCGGTTTGTTTACCTGCCGCGTCTGCAGGTTCAACCGATCGCGGCTCCCACTGGTCGCGGTTCTCTGCTCCAGGCCAATGGGGGCTGTGGGAAGTGGCACGGGCCAAGGGATGTGCTGGCCGCCGCTTCCCGCCGCCCCCATTGGCCTGGCGATCGACCGAACTTGCAGACGCGACAAGTAAGCCCGCCCGCCCGCCAGGGTGCTTACCCTGGCGAGCCACGTGCCAAACGTTGCCGATCCCTGCTCTAGTCATTCTGTGGCAGATGCTTTGTTTGGTGTGGCGGTCCTCCGTTCCACGGTTCTGTCTTCTTCCTCGCAACCTCCTCCTATCTAGGTACTGCTTGTTAATCACACTCAGTGAAATACAGTAGGGACCATCACTCGAAGAAGAAGGGGAGGTTACTTACCTATAACTGGAGGTTCTTTGAGATGTGTGGTTCCTATCTGTATTCCAATCTCGCCCTCCTTTCCCTCTGCTGCGAAACTGGTCGATTTTTTTGGTGGAGAAGGAACTGAAGGCGCAGTCATTCCGCCCTGTCCTTTATCACCTTGGGCGAAACCATGAGGCGGTACGAGGGCGCATGCACAGACCCACGGATTCTACTATTTTGAAAAGCTCTGGCTCTGGGCCTGTGGCTCATGCGCATAATCCTCAGTGGAATACAGATAGGAACCACACATCTCGAAGAACCTCCAGTTATAGGTATGTAACCTCATTTCCCCCTTTAGTCATCTCTTTTCTTAACTGAACAGTCCCAGTTTTTTTAATCTCTCCTCGTATGAAAGCTGTTCCATTCCTCGTATGAAAGCTGTTCCATTCCCCTAATCATTTCTTTGTTCTACCATTTCCAATTCTAATATATCTTTTGAGATGGGGCGACCAGAACTACACTCAGTATTCAAAATGCAGGCATACAATGGCTTTATATAGTGGCATGATGATATTCTCTGTTTTATTATCTATCCCTTGGTTTTTAACATTGTTAACTTTTTTGACTGCGATTGCACATTGAGCAGATGTTTTCAAAGAACTATCTACAATGACCAAGTTCTCTTTCTTGAGTGGTAATAGCTAATTTAGACCCCATCATTTTGTATGTCAACCCTTTAAAGTTTACTGTCTTGCTTCTTTGGGTGGTTGGTTGTTCAGCTATGGTAGACGGAGGGTGTATTAGTGAGTTCCTCATCCTTCGAAAGAAACTTTTCCAAATAGAGCGCTACAGTCTGGCTCCTGGAAGGAGCAGGTCTTAGACAAAAGAAGGTAGGTGCACCATTTGGCTTTGAGAGTGGACTTGGGGAAAGCATTCTTAAGGCTGCCTCAGGGACTCTGGACACACCCTGGCTCACATTCTGGAAGACGAAAATGAAACATCCTCTATATTACCAGATGCAAGACCAAGAAGACACACCTTGTACTCAGACCTGCTCAACCTCTCCATACCACCCCCAGTCATGCTTCCAGTAGTCCCAGATCTTCTGGCTCAGAATGGAGGTGAGATGCTGCAACCAAACCTCCACTCTCTCTATCTAACCATGTGGATGCTTTCTGGTTGACTCAAGCAGAGAGGTCCTGCTTGCCGGAGGTGCAGGAGGTATGATAAACAGCATGTAGGAGTTAACAAGGACGACTTATCTTTTGAAATGGATGAGATTCTCCAGCTGGGCCCACGGGTACCATATTCCCCCTGTTCAGGCAAGCATCCAGGATACACTGGAGTCAATTAAAGCAAGTGAGTGTTTCCTAAGGCTCCTGGCGGGTGCACCTAGTGGCCATATCAGCTGGCCATCCATCTGTTGATTGACCATTCCTTTGTATTCTTACACCCAATAGATTCCTGAAAGGCATCTCTAGACTCTTTCCACCACTTAAGGACCCAAACCCAGCATGGGACCTTAATGTGGTCCTCTCCAGGCTAATGGAAGCCCTTTAGGGCAATGAGCCTGTTGCCAGTGGCTCAATCTCACCATAAAAGTTGGCAATCACATCAGCCAGAAGGGTTGGAGAGACTCAGGCATTAATGGAGGGACCCTCCATATACCATCATATATAAGGATGAGGGGAAAATGAAGCCCCACCCAAGATTCCTGCCAAAAGTAGCACTGGAATTCCACATCAGTGAGACGATCAGCCTACCTGTGTTCTTCCTGAAGCCTCATGCAGGGAGAGCAGAACAGAGTTTGCACATACTGGACATGCAAAGGGTGCTGCTATATTAATTGGACAGGGTCAAGCCCTTCCAGAAATCACCCAGACTCCTCTTTTGCTTATAGGGAAAGGGTTATGGGTCAAGCAGTACCCACCCAGAGACTATCTGGCTGGAGCATCAAATCATGCTTTTGACTCGCAAGGATGCTACTTCCATACAAAGTGTTAGTGCGTTCCTCCATATACAGTCTCTATCAGTGGCTTCTTTGGTGTGCCTTCCCATCAGTGACATCTGCAGAGCAGCAGAGTGGTCATCTGTCCACACATTTATGAAGCATTACACACTGGTGTAGGTGATCAGGGATGATGCCAGATTTGACAGGACTGTAAGGACTACTGTTTGGAAGTCACCAGCTTGGAATTAACGGACTATCAAAATAAAAAAGGTTACTTACCTGTACAGTACTGATTTTCTTTGAGATATGTAGTCTGTATATGTATTACACAAACCACCCGCTGTTACTACTACTTCGGAATTCCCCAAACCCTGAGCTCTGAAGGTGGTGAAGGAACTGAGGGTGATGAGGTGGCTCCAGGTTCCTCACTGGAATGCTTTAGAGTGTAAGGGTGCATGCACTGCCACACGGACGCTGTGGGCTAGAAAGTTTTCTGGCACATGCACTGCCCCCGCAATCGCAAGCTGTGGAATGTGATTTGGACTACACATCTTAAAGAACATCAGTGACTGAACAGCTGAGTAATCCTTTCCTTGGATGTGTGGCATAAGGCCATTCAGCCCCACTCTGATCTCAGACAGTGTTTGGTAGTTAAAGGGGAAGTCAGCCTCCTTTTACTATTAAAAGTCAATAAAGTTTACAGCCTGCAGCTTTAAATCCAGTCTGTCTTCGTTTTGCTGTGTGTCCTGATCAAAAATTGGTGGCTTCTTTCCACTTCTCAGGGGTTAATCAGAGATGTAGTATTGGGGCTTTACCTTATAATTATAATTAATAATTTGTATTACCATTGCTACTAGGAGCCCTAGTTACAGACCAGATCCCATTGTGTTAGGTGCTTTACAAACACAGAAAAAAAGACTGTGCCTGCTCCAAAAAGGCAATCTAAGACTTAGTAATGTTAACTTTACATTTTGTTATAAACAAAAATAAATGAACAAAGTACATTTTGTAACGTCACGCTAATTTGTTTGTTTTCTACTGTTTATTCACTAAGGATATGTCTACACAGCAACTAGATACCCCACAGCTTGAGCCCTGTGAGCCTGAGTCAGCTGGCATGGGCCAGCCGCAGGTGTCTAGTTGCTGTGTAGAAATACCATTACTTGCTAATTCACACAATGGGATCACAGGTCTGATGCAAAGTTTGCATAGGTGAAAGAAAAACTGCAAACTGATGTGTTATGTGCCTCTCTTAATAAAATAGAAGAATGGCCATACTGGGTGATACCAGTGGTCCACCTACCCCAGTATCCTGTCTTCCAACGTGCCAGTGCCACTTGCTTTAGAGGTAATGAATGGAACAGGGCAGTTTATCAAGTGATCCATACCCCATTGTCCAATCCCAGCTTCTGGCAATCTGAGATTTTAGGGATGTCCAGAGCATAAGGTTGCATCCCTGACCATTTTGGCTAATAGCCATTGATGGCACTTTCCTCCATGAACATATCTAATTCTTTTTTGAACCCTGTTACACTTTTGACCTTCAAAACATCCTCTAGCAGTGAGTTCCACAACTTGACTGTGTTATGTGAAGAAGTACTTCCTTGTGTTTGTTTTAAACCTGTTGCCTATTAATTTCAGCAGGTGAACCCTGGTTCTTGTGTTATGTGAAAGGGTAATTGTTGAACAGCACTTGTCCCAGTACAGATCCTTGGGGAACCTTGCTATTACCTCTCTCTTCTATGAAAACTGATCAGTTATTCCTGCCCTTGGTTTCCTGTCTTTTTTTCTAGTTACTGATCCATGAGAGGAATTTCCCTTTTATCCCATGACTGCCTACTTTTAATTCATCTGTTCATCTGTGTGTCTGATAAATCTGTTCTTTACTATAATTTCAACCAGTTTGCCTTGTACTAAAATTAGACTTACTGGCTTGTAATTGCCAGGATCATCTCTGGAGTAGTTTTAAAAAATAGGCGTTGCGTTAGCTATCTGCCAGTCATCTGATGCAGAGAGAGATTTATGCGATAGGTTATATATCACCGTTAGTAGGCTTACACCATATTAGTGTTGTAACAGACGACTTGAAAATTTTTCTTCATCATTAAATTGCTTTTGAAATTGGTATTTCATATAAAATACCAAAACAGAGTGAATTGCCTCTTCTGAAATCCTACACTTGGTACTGCAACAAATGTCAGCAGAACATTATCATCTGTGTACTCTAATAGACTCCTTGTGTTAGTGCAGATTTATGTAACTCATAACCTTGGACCATGTAATCTTTCAAAAGTTTTATGAAACTTAAGTTTCTAATATATTTGCAGCGGCTGAGGAGCTTGATACAGAAAATGAATTTTTGCTGCCTCCTGTCTTTGGGGAAGAATATGAGGAACAGCCAAGACCTCGATCCAAAAAGAAGGTAATAGATCATATGATTCAAATACAAAAAAACTTTGTACACTGCAGGTTGACTAAATTTTAGATCACTCTGAGAACTGAAGTTATTGCTAATTAAAATATTAATATGTCTACTTGCTTTGGAATGAAATAGTACATTTGTTCAAGTGGTAAAATTAATTCAGTGCCTTGCAATTAATTCAGTATAATACTTACTCCAGATTTGTTATCAGGCAGAGTGAGTAGGAGAGTGGTTGCCAGTTAATTTCTGGGGTTTAATCCCATCTTTGCCACTGACTTGTATAGCCTTGTACAAATCACTTTACTGCTGCCTCAGTTCCCCTATTTGTAAAGTGGAAACACTAAATCAGGGGTGGCCAAACTTACTGACCCTCCAAGAAATTCCATTGAGCGTAGAGCTTTACTTTGCTCAGCCAATTATATAAATGTATTAGCTTACTGGAGCAGCCACTATAAGTAATGATTATAAGTATTTTTCAATCGCTCAAAATTTTCCCAGACTTTGTTTCCACTCTGAAATTTTCCAGGTTTGAGGGCTGACCAAGTTTAATTTTTGGTTGTTGAAAATCTGAGCGGAAACAGTTCTGATGATTTTGAGTGTGAGTCAGGGGGGAAATATTTTCCCTATTTTTTGAAAGTATGATATATTTGTAAGAAAATGCTGCTGCATTTAACAGTTCTAAAGACAATGATTGGGTATAGAAAAGCTGAAGTTTGGATCAAAAAAGCCCTCAATGAGAAGTGCCTTTGAGTGTTCTGGTGAAAATTGGTTTTGATTAGCAGTTAAGATTTGTCAAAAATTGTTCTTGGCAGATGCACAGTATGTTTTGCACAGATTTTTTTTTTTTTTTTTTTTTTTTTTGGCTAAACTCATAAAGTGCAAAACTAAGACTGTGTTGTCCATGTGTGCATGGGAGAAGAATTTAGCAAAAGTCCCTGTGTATCTTGTAAATCATATGGGGCCATTGATATTGTTTGCTTGCTCTCTTTTTAAGACGGTGCAGTATTTGGGTTGCTCTTTTCCTAGCCTTTTCCTTCTAATAGTATCCCTATGGGTGCTCCACTCCAGGTGTGCTTGCATCCCTACACTGCCGATTGGAGAACTTTGGTAGCAGTGTCCATTTGGCCCGCACATGCACTGTCCCCCACCCCATGCTCTGCCATGAGGCTAAGCAACACTCACGGGCCAGCTCCTCTCAGTTCCTTCTCAACAACCCTGGCTAGAGATGGAGCTATTAGCAGTCCATTCTTCAGATTATCTCTCTCTTAGCACTTCAGTAGTTAGTTAATACTTTTCTCTTAGTTGTAGAGCTTTCTTTAGCTTCTCTTCCTTAACATGTAAGGACTATGGGTCAAAGAAAACAGCCATGAACCTGCAGCCTCAGGCATAAATCCCGCACTGCACATTTTCCAACTCAACACTATTATGAGCCTCAAAGGAAAAATCCAGATTTTCCAAATGTAAACCATCAGGCCACAGTCTTCCTTGTCACAAACATCCACCTCAAAACATCAGCTTTGACATCTTGGTCGGGGCACCGACAGACCTCTCCCCTCAACACCAACTGCAACTGAGCTACCCATCGCACACACCTGGATACCACCTTGCTTCGTTCCACAACAATTGGGAATGAATAATATCTGACCAAAGGATCCTGGAAATCATCCATAATGGGTACTCTGTCCATGTCACCTTCCCCCAGCACCCTTCCCTGTCCCTCTTCAGGGACCCTTCTCGCAAGAGTTTATTACGACAAGAAATAGATCTCCTCCATCTAGGAGCCATAGAACCTATACCTCTAGATCTACAAAGCAAAGGTTTCTACTCTTCTTATTTCCTGATACCCAAGAAGAAGGGAGGTGGGAGACCCATACTGGGCCTCAAAGCACTGAATAAATTTGTGAAAGCTCAAAAATTCAGGATGGTCACACTAGCAGTGATCATTCCATCTTTCGAACAGGGAGACTGGTTTTCAGCTCTCGACCTGCAGGATGCCTATTTCCACATATGGATCCTACCTTCCCACAGACGATTTCTCAGATTTAGGCTATGTCTATACTAGAGAGCTTACAATGGCACAGCTGTACCAATGTAGCTGCACTGCTATAAGATATCCCGTGTACCTGCTCTATGCTTTTCCATCGACATAATTAAACCACACCCCTGAGCGACATAAGTTATAATAACAAAAGTGCTAGTGTAGACATAGCCTTACACTGGGCCAGGACCATTACCAATAGAGAGCACTCCCCTTTAGCCTCTCATCGGCTTCGCGAGTATTCTCCAACGTCTTCTCCATAGTGGCGGCTCACCTATTCTTTCAGGGGATTATGATCTATCCCTATCTGGACGATTGTCTCCTCAGAGCCTGCTCCTTCAACAAGGCCCACCAGGTTACCCAAACCACTGTAGACTTGTTCACGGAACTGGGTCTCCAGATCAATGTCCAAAAATCAACGTTCATTCCCTGTATAGCACTTAGAGTTCATAGGAGCCAATCTTGACTCATTACAGGCGAGGGCGCTCCTGCCACAGCACAGGTTGCACACACTGGTCACACTCATAGAGACAGTACAGATCAGCCCTCAAATATCAGTCAGACACTGCCTCCACCTTCTGGGATATAGGGTGACTGGCGCATCCATGATACCTCATGTCAGAATTCACATGAGGTGCCTCCAGATGTGGTTCAGCTCTGGCTACACGCCGAACAAAGATAGACTAGACAAACCTTTATCACTGCCCACCAAATTCTAACACTCCTTGGACTGGTGGAAGGACTTAGCAAATGTCTGCACAGGGATCCCTTTCTCGCAAACTCCCATCATTACTCCTCACCACTGATGCATCCCTCAGAGGATGGGGCACACATGTCAACAATCTTACGAGACAGGGCAAGTGATCATCCATGGAAATGTCTCTTCACATCAACCTCCTCGAACTTAGACTGGTCAGGAATGCCAGCACCAACTTCCTTCCACTAATCAAGGGTACACACACAAGAGTCTTGACAGACAACACCGCATGTATGTACTACATAAATTGACATGGAGGCGCCAGATCATCCTCCATTTGCGTGGAAGCACTAAAGCTATGGAACCGGTGCATTTCCCACAGAATCACACTATCGCAGCCTACCTTCCAGGAGTACAAAACTTGATAGTGGACCATCTCAGTCGCAAGTTCCCACATGACTACAAATGGGAGATAAACTCAGCAATACTGCACATACTGTTCAAGAGGTGGAGGAGACCAACTACAGACTTGTTCACCACTTACCTGAACAATGTCCACACTACTCTAGGGCAGGAATAGGACAACACTCCTTGGGGGATGCTTTCCTTCTTCTGTGGAACAGGGACCTTCTCTACACCTTTCCCCCATTCCCCTTACTGTTGAAAGTCCTGTTAAAAATAAAAAGAGAAAGAGCAAACATCATAGTGACTGCTCCCATCTGGCCAAGACACATGTTTGTACCCTTACCTGTCACAACTGGTGACATGCCCTCTGATCTCTCTCCAACCCACTCCATGTCTCCTCTCACAGAACAAAGGACACACTCTTCATCCCAATCTGCAGATACTCCGACTCAAGGCCTAGCTCCTTCATGGTTCCAGCACATAGAAAGATCCTGCTCTGAGGAGGTACAGGAAGTGTTGTTACAGTAGAAAACAGTCTACCAGTCATACTTACCTGCAAAAGTGGACCAGGTTTCAGGTCTGGTGTAATTCCAGGCAAATTTCCCTGATATCTGCTAATCTTCCAGTGGTCTTAAATCATATACTGACTCCCAAGAAATCAGGACTAGCTCTCATTTCAAAGTTCACCTAGCGGCCATAGCAGCCTTCCATCAACAAGTAGAGGGCTCTCACACCCAACCGCAAAATGATTCTTTGGGGTATAGTAAACCTTTTCCCCCAACCCAGACATCCTATCCCAACATGGGACCTAAATCTAGTACTAAAAAGCCTAACTAGACCGCCCTTTGACCCCCATGGCTACTTGTTCGCTCACATATCTGTAGCTGAAGACAGCCTTTCTGGCGGCAATCACCTTGGCAAGACCGCACCCCAAGTTCATTCCCAAGGTGACCTCGTCTTTTCACATAAACCGACTCACTACCTGACTGTTTACCCTAAACCTCACCGTGATAACAGGGAGCCTATTCTGCACACGCTAAACGTTAGGAGAGCCCTGGCCTTTTATCTGGACAGGACAAAGGCCTTTAGGAAGTCTCCTAAGCTCTTCCTTTTTATTGCGAAGGTCTAAAGGTGCACCAATATTGGCCCAGAGACTCTCCAAATGGGTCTCAAACTGTATCAAACACTGCTATGAGGGTCTCAACATAATACCTCCATCTGGAATCCGCACACACTCCCCACGTCTGTTTCCTCCTCTGTCACCTTCCTCAAGAATGTACCTATCTTGGAAATCTGTAGAGCAGCAACCTGGGCATCTGCATCTACCTTCGCAGAGCACTATGCGATTACTGGGGACTCTGCTTCTGACGCTATCTTCAGCTCCGCAGTATTGTCATCCATAACAGATTAGACTCCGAAGCCCCAGCCTCCCATTGGGGATTCACCTACAGTGGAGCATCCTTGGGAACACTACTCAGAGAAGAAGAGGAAGTTACTCACCTTGTGCAATAACTAATGATGGTTCTTCAAGAGGGGTGTCTCTATGGGTGCTCCACAACCCACCCTCCTCCCCTGTATTTCGGAGTTCTTGTCAGGGACTCTGCAGTAGCGAAGGAACGGAGGGGAGTTCACCCATGCACGCTGGTTAGCCTCGTAGCAGAGCATGAGGCGGGGGACAGCGTATGTGCGGGCTGAGTGAACGCTGCTATCAGAGTTCTCCAATCCACAGCACAGGGACTCAAGCGCACCTACAGTGGAGCACCCAGAGGGGGACACATCTCGAAGAACAATCGTTCCTGCACAAGGTGAGTGACTTCCTCTTTTCTGAACAGTCTTATATATGGCACACACTTTGATGATTTGCCAGGCAAATAGTCACTGTTATTGATGCTGTTCTTTGAGCCTACCCTATAGATGCACTGTCACATGTTTTAACTCCCGTCCTAGAGATTTTGGGATGGTACCTCAGAATTGTTCCATGCCTATACCTGTCAATATCGAAAAGCTATAAAATGAGACATTTGGGGGGAAATGCATTATGAGCATTAAATTCACTTTTTGGAGGGAGAGGTTTGGAAGAATATTGCAAAAACATTACTAAAGAAATAGCACCAGCTTCCTTTTACGGGGAAAGATGTCATATACGCCAATTATCGCCAGTCTATAGAAGGAAAATCCTCAGACTTCTAACTATGTAAGATTTGGCATCCTTTTCTCTAAGTCCATAAGTTTAATAAAGATGCACTACTTTACCTGACAGTCCTACTCTTAGTGTGCAAAATAACTGAAACAGAGTATGTAACATTAATAAATACTCCTAAAGAAATGTCCTTACATGTATGCTACTAGTAACATCCTGATCATTGGCTTTCGTTGTTTATGCTCTTCAGATCCGTTTTTGCACTTCACTCAGTTTAGGCACTGAAAATAGATTGCCCAGATTCTTTTGTTCATAGTCTGTTCATAGTCTGTTTCCAGTCAGTTTCCCCTTGTGGCACACAGGCACCAGCACAAACTGTAGTGTAGCAAACTGTTTCATAGCATTTTTTTTTAAATGATGAAGAAAATTCTATTAATATTAGGGTTTCTGAAACCTTCTTTATATGTTGCTTACTAAATTTAAATGTGGGTCCTGCACAAGCTGGAATTGGTCTTTCAGTATTTAGTATATTTTCAAAAGGGGTCAGGTCCAGCCTCCCTGTTTCTGGGTGCGGTTTGCAAAATGAATGATGGACTCAGCTTTTAGTTGCACCTCTAACTTCCTGATTTGCATATTTGCAAAATGAGGACTTGAAAATTAATCTATAATCTTACTCTGTGAACTGTGGTGCCAGGAGTGTGTGTTTCTTAGTGTGATTCACTAATGTAACACTTTTTCTTTATAATAAAAAAAGTCCATCTAACTTCATCTATCTTAGATACCACTTTGTTAGGTGTCTTAGAAGTACCTGAGTCAGCACAGGTAGAACTGTTTTTGGAAGCGTCTTCAGTATAAGGACCCACCTATTGACTCTAGCTGAATGAAACAAATATTGCTACTTCCGTTTTATAATTCAAAATCTGGCTGGCAGTTCGTTATAGTTTGCTTAGTTTCTATGTTTTTAGATAAGGGTAATATTACTGACTGTAAGTTAGATCAGTTTAATAAGCAGTAATATTTACAGATTTATTTCAATGACAGGGAGTGAAGAGAAAAGCAGTGTCAGAATACCAGTCTCATGATGATAGCTCTGAGAATTCAGAGTGTAGTTTTCCTTTCAAATATGCATATGGTGTAAATGCGTGGAAACACTGGGTAAAAACTAGGAGTCTAGATGAAGATCTGCCAGTATTAGAGGAACTGAAATCAAGTAAGTATTGCCCACATATTTGTAATTCATTTTAATTTTTTATAAGAACTTTTATATTTTCATGAACTCTTCACCTTTTATAAACTAATTCTTAATATAAAATATTAACTACTGTTTTCAAGTTTTAATCAAACCCTGTGTACAACAGAATTATTTATTTCTGAAAATAGCTGCTTAACTCTTTTTCCAAGTTCCCACAAACATGGCTTTTCCTAAAGACACCTTCTGCACTAGATTCTGAGTCCTGGGTCTTGTGCTCTTGGTATGAAACAGGATTGACTACTCTAGTTGTCAGCATTTATTGTGGCCCCTTGGTTTTCTAGCAGCCCCCTGGTTCTCCTTAATTCTTAGCCAGCCCCAGAGTTCACATCTTAAGAGATCTTCAGCTGGGGACGGAGTTGGCAGTGCAGAGCTTCTAACCTCTACCTGTTTGTGGGGCTCTGCTCAAGTGGGCTTCGGAGCTATGGAATGCAGCTGCCCTTCCTGCAAGGCTCTTCTGGTATCAGCATTTACCTTGGCCCCTGGGGCCACTAATCTCCTCTTCTGCTAGTCTCTCATGTGCTTTAGCACAGCCATATACACCAGAAATGCAGCCATTCTTTCTGAAACCTCCCTCCCCCACTCCCTGTATTTGAATTAATACCTTGGGCTATTGTCTTACTCCACCTTTTCCTCAGCCTGGCATGACAGTAAATTCTCCACGGTGGGTAATAATCTTCCCATCATGGCACAGTGTAGTGTAGTCAATTAACATAGCCTTGAATCTGGTGGCTTTGCTGTGTAATTTAGGTCAAATATATCAGGTACAACACTGGAACTCACTTATTATTCTGCACAGAGAATGTCTAAACCAGTAGTTCTCAACCAGGGGTCCAGGGCCCCCTAGGGGACCTCGAGCAGGTTTCAGGGGGTCCTCCAAGCAGGGCCAGCATTAGAATCCCTCGGACCCAGGGCAAAAAGCTGAAGCCCCACGGTATGGGGCTGAAGCCCAGGTCCCTGAGCCCCGCCACTTGGGGATGAAGCTGAAGCCTGAGCAATGTAATTTGTGGGGGGCCCCGTGGCATGGGGCCCCAGGCAGTTGCCCTGCTTGCCACCCCCTAACGCTGGCCCTGGCTTTTATATGCAGCAAACCAGTTATTGTGGCACAGGTGGGCCATGGAGTTTTTATAGTATGTTGGGGGGGCCTCAGGAAAAAAAAAAAAAGGTTGGGAACTTCTGATCTAAACCATTTCCCCTCCCATAGCAAGTAATGTTAATGTTGTTGTGTAATGTTATATTTGTTTTATCTTTATTTTACAGCAAAATCTGTGAAATTAAAGGAAGATCTGCTATCGCATACTGTAGCTGAGCTAAACTATGGCTTGTCACGTTTTGTCAATGAAATTCGAAGACCGAATGGAGAGAACTATACACCTGACAGCATCTATTATCTGTGTCTTGGGATTCAGGAGGTTAGTAATCTAGAAGATGCAGTAGACTATGGAGCTGATGATTTGACTCTGATATATGCTTTAATGAAAGAATTGGGGATAAGAAAATATGGATTTATTGGTTGATAAGTGGCTAGGAGGCATTATGAACATAGGAGCTGTTGTTAATTTGGAATGCAGAGAGATCATATAAATTACATAATGGAAAGGTGTGTGTTTTGATGATGAACTGCAAATACATCTGGAAATTTGAAAGAAAGGTGGTACAACATGATACTTTTAAACCTTGTGCTAAATGAAGGTAAGGAATGAGTTGCCTTACATTCACTTGTGTCTGACAAAAACAATTTTTCAAATGTTGCAATTTGTGTGGATTGCCTAAGATGATTTAATGATCAAGCAGAATGAAACAGTTAACTAATTGTATCTACACAGAAAATGACTATTTTCACAAACTGTGGAAGCAACATTGATAATGATGACTAATTTATTCGTTCGTGGATGGAGGGGACAGCTGTGTGGTGGAATGCTTATTGGACAGAGCTGCCTTTGCTGAATACTGAGCACTATTAGCCTGCCTTAGTTTGTGGAATGTAAAAAGGTTTAATAGTTATACAAAGTGATTTAAAATTCTTTCATACTTCAGATCAGAAAAGAGCCACTATAATTCCATTGCAGATAAAGACAGTAAAAGACCATTAGATTCTTAGATAAAGAAGGTGTTCCATAACTTTTATCTTTGAAGTAGAGGGGCATCTCAATTTTATTTTCTGTTTGTGGTGCAGAAAGCAGCCTGTAGTTTAAACATTCTAAATTCCGAGCTGAAAATGATAAGGCTGAAAATTTCAGTCAGTCCAACTTCATTTATATATGTGTCTAATATAGAGCACCAGCTCTTCTTTAACCAACTATCACCCTAGCTAATCTTCCTTATTGTTAAGGGAAGGGACTGAAATCAAATAACGAATCCCTTAAACAATCAAAAATATTTTAAGAAATTCTTCTCCAACTATTTAGTTTCTAGTGGGAGCTAGCTGATAACTTTCCAAATATCAACCACGAGGAAAAGACAACATCCTTTATTTGGCAAAATATACAACGTTTTTAAGAAAATGTAGTTTAATCTCAGGTAGCTTTCCACCACTGTCCTTGCATGATCTTCTATCACTCTGACATCAGAGCTCCTTATTAAATTTTTTTTAAATCAGATATACAGTACTGAAAAAATAAGCCATCTGCTTATAAAACAGTGCTCTCCCAATAGTTGTACTCTCTCCAAATTGTTCTTTTATCTCTTCTACCCTGCCTGTTTTTCTGTTGCAAATATTAGGCATATATTTAATTTTAAGTTTATAGTTAGTGCTTTGTCTTGCATGGATATGAATATCAGGAACCCTAATACAAAAATAATATATTGTGACATTGGAGTAGCATTCTTTATTGATCATGCCATTGCAACTATTGTTTGTATTTGTGTTTCATATTTCAATTGGGATAGTGCCCATAGGTCCCAGTGGGATTTAGGGCCCAGTTGTGGTAGATGCTATTCAAATACATAGGAAGACTTGGTCACTGCACTGAAGAGCTTAAAGTCCACAGAGACAAAAATGAGTTGGGGATTAGAGGCTATACACACATGAGCAGTCAGGGTGACAGCAAGTACACATCTTGTTAATGCCAGATTTTGTGCATTTTAAGGAAGTATCCTCAAGTGCCTTTCCCCCTTTCCTACAAGCAGAAGCAGGTTCAGACTTTCTCCTGGGGCCTAGCACTGGGAATATTTTTAAGTGACAATGTACTAAATTTGATCCCATTGTCCCTATGTGAAACAAAACCCAACTCACTTCTTAGGTCATTACATCCCTTCCTCCCAGCAGACGGCCCTAGACTGGAATCCATGGAATGGAGAATAAATATAACGTCCAGGAAAACTGTTAAAGGGCTTAAGCAGAAGGGACTTTGATAAGCTAGGAAGGCTTATGTCAGATATTAGTTGTTAAAGGATTTTGCTAGTAATAAAACAAAATTAATATGAAAAAAACCCCTCAGACTTGTATATTCAAATAAACCAGATAAGTACTCTATGGAGGAAAACTAAATTGAGAGATCAGTATATTACGGAAAATTAAGAAATGTATGCTCTTTTCAGATCAAAGGAGTAACATTTATATTGAGGAAGAAAGCTGAGAAATTATCAAGGCAGGCAAAAAAAAAACTAATGAATTGAGAACAGTATTAAGCCTTCATTCAGATACAGTGGAAATTCCCATGGGTCTAAATCTAATCAGCAGTGTTTTAGTAACTTGTACTAATACTGTCCGACAGGTTGTTGGGGAAGGCAGAGGGAAGGACAGAGAACATTTCTTCTCCCCCAATAGAATTACCATCGTTGTTGGGACTAGATAGTGCTGCAGTGATGAGCCTTATTCTCTGTTCGATACAGGCTTTGAGCATAATGGGGGTTGTGTAGAAACCTTACTTGTATTCGTTTTTCTGACATTGATATATTTTGAAAGCACATAAGAATATTTTTTTTAAAGGGACATTTGGAAAAAAGCATCAATACGTTCAAGACCAGGTAAATGTGTTAACCAAAACAAGGAAAAAAATAAGTGGAGGGATCCTCTTGAGATTTCTTATACAGACTTGTTGCATTATCTGATTTAGAATTGTAATAAATTCAAAATTGCATATCTGCAGTATTGAAAATATTTGTAAGCGTTTTAAGTTTTCAAGAAAGCATTTTTGTAAATGTATCCATTCCAAATCAATTCTCTGAACTAAGGTACCGTGTATTCAGAAACTTAAGACTTCAAAGAAAGTGTACAGATTCATTTTTCCTTATTATAAAACTAAGTGCAAAGATAAGGTAGTCAAGATATGCTGAACTTCTGCTTAATACAAATGAGTGCTGTGTTTAATGTTATTTCAAGGATGTGTACAGAAATAGAAGCCATTTCCAGAAGTGAGCACATGTTTTATTGTATTCACTAGCAACAGGCTTGTTTTCACTAAGATAATATTTAAGTGGAAGTTTTAAGAAGCCAATACTCCATTTCTTAGAAATGTCTCCAGAGAGGATAATGTCTAATACTAGTATAGCCCTCATAATTAATTCTTGGTCAATGTTCAAAAGAGCAACCACTTCTGTCTGTAAGATTAAGATAATTAGACATTAGACTGCAGAATATTCAGGCGCCTTGCACAGTCTACCAGTTTTAGAATCATAGAAGCATAGAATATCAGGGTTGGAAGGGACCTCAGGAGGTCATCTAGTCCAACCCCCTGCTCAAAGCAGGACCAATCCCCAACTAAATCATCCCACCCAGGGCTTTGTCAAGCCTGACCTTAAAAACCTCTAAGGAAGGAGATTCCACCACCTCCCTAGGTGTAACCCATTCCAGTTCTTCACCACCCTCCTAGTGAAAACGTTTTTCCTAATATCCAACCTAAACCTCCACACTGCAACTTGAGACCATTACCCCTTGTTCTGTCATCTGCTACCTCTGAGAACAGTCTAGTTCAGAGGTCAGCAACCTTTCAGAGGTGGTGTGCTGAGTCTTCATATATTCACTCTAATTTAAGGCTTCGCGTGCCAGTAATACATTTTAATGTTTTTAGAAGGTCTCTTTCTAGAAGTCTATAATATATAACTAAACTATTGTTGTATGTAAAGTAAATAAGGTTTTTAAATGTTTAAGAAGCTTCATTTAAAATTAAATTAAAATGCAGAGCCCCCGGGAATATTGGCCAGGACCCGGGCAGAGTGAGTGCCACTGAAAATCAGCTTGTGTGCCGCCTTTGGCACCTGTGCCATAGGTTGCCTATCCCTGGTCTAGAGCCACCCTCTTTGGAACCCCCTTTCAGGTAGTTGAAAGCAGCTATCAAATCCCCTCTCATTCTTCTCTTCTGCAGACTAAATAATCTCAGTTCCCTCAACCTCTCCTCATAAGTCATGTGCTCCAGCCGCCTAATCATTTTTGTTGCCCACCGCTAAACTCTTTCCAATTTTTCCACATCCTTCTAATAGTGTGGGGCCCAAAACTGGACACAGTACTCCAGATGAGGCCTCACCAATGCCGAATAGAGGGGAATGATCACATCCCTCAATCTTCTGGCAATGCCCCTACTTATACAGCCCAAAATGCCGTTAGCCTTCTTGGCAACAAGGGCACACTGTCGACTCATATCCAGCTTCTCATCCACTGTAACCCCTGGGTCCTTTTCTGCAGAACTGCTGCCTAGCCACTCGGTCCCTAGTCTGTAGCAGTGCATGGGATTCTTCTGTCCTAAGTACAGGACTCTGCAGTTGTCCTTGTTGAACCTCATCCCATTTCTTTTGGCCCAATCCTCTAATTTGTCTAGGTCCCTCTGTATCCTATCCCTACCCTCCAGCGTGTCTACCACTCCTCCCAGTTTAGTGTCATCTACAAACTTGCTGAGAGTGCAGTCCACACCATCCTCCAGATCATTATTGAAGATATTGAACAAAACCTGCCCCAGGACCGACCCTTGGGGCACTCCGCTTGATACCGGCTGCCAAGTAGACATGGAGCCATTGATCACTACCCGTTGAGCCCAACGATCTAGCCAGCTTTCTCTCCACCTTATAGTCCATTCATCCAGCCCATATTTCCTTAATTTGCTGGTAAGAATACTGTGAGAGACGGTATCAAAAGCTTTGCTAAAATCAAGGAATAACATGTCCACTGCTTTTCCCTGATCCACAGAGCCAGTTATCTCCTCATAGAAGGCAATTAGGTTAGTCAGGCATGATTTGCCCTTGGTGAATCCATGCTGACTGTTCCTGATCACTTTCCTCTCCTCTAAGTGCTTCAAAATTGATTCCTTGAGGACCTGCTCCATGATTTTTCCAGGGACTGAGATGAGGCTGACTGGCCTGTAGTTCCCCGGCTCCTCTTCCTTCCCTTTTTTAAAGATGTACACTACATTAGCCTTTTTCCAGTCATCCGGGACCTCCCCCGATCGCCATGAGTCAATGGCTCTACAATCACATCTGCCAACTCCTTTAGCACCCTCGGATGCAGTGCATCCGGCCCCATGGACTTGTGCTCATCCAGCTTTTCTAAATAGTCCTGAACCACTTCTTTCTCCAGAGAGGGCTGGTCACCTCCTTCCCATACTGTGCTGCCCAGTGCAGTAGTCTGGGAGCTGACCTTGTTCGTGAAGACAGAGGCAAAAAAAGCATTGAGTACATTAGCTTTTTCCACATCCTCTGTCACTAGGTTGCCTCCCCCATTCAGTAAGGGGCCCACACTTTCCTTGATCACCTTCTTGCTGCTAACATTCCTGTAGAAACCCTTCTTGTTACTCTTATCATTCTTTGCTAGCTGCAACTCCAAGTGTGATTTGGCCTTCCTGATTTCACTCCTGCATGCCTGAGCAATATTTTTATACTCCTCCCTGGTCATTTGTCCAATCTTCCACTTCTTGGACGCTTCTTCTTTGTGTTTAAGATCAGCAAGGATTTCACTGTTAAGCCAAGCTGGTCACCTGTCATATTTACTGTTCTTTCTACACATCGGGATGGTTTGTTCCTGCAACCTCAATAAGGATTCTTTAAAATATAGCCAGCTCTCCTGGACTCCTTTCCCCCTCATGTTATTCTCCCAGGGGATCCTGCCCATCAGTTCTGTGAGGGAGTCAAAGTCTGCTTTTCTGAAGTCCAGGGTCCTTATTCTGCTGCTCTCCTTTCTTCCTTGTGTCAGGATCCTGAACTCGACCACCTCATGGTCACTGCCTCCCAGGTTCCCATCCACTTTTGCTTCTCCTACTAATTCTTCCCTGTTTGTGAGCAACAGGTCAAGAAGAGCTCTGCCCCCAGTTGGTTCCTCCATGACTTGCACCTGGAAATTGTCCCCTACACTTTCCAAAAACTTCCTGGATTGTCTGTGCACTGCTGTATTGCTCTCCCAACAGATATTGGGGTGATTGAAGTCCCCCATGAGAACCAGGGCCTGTGATCTAGTAACTTCTGTTAAATGCTTGAAGAAAGCCTTGTACACCTTATCTCCCTGGTCTGGTGGTCTATAGCAGACTCCCACCACGACATCACCCTTGTTGCTCACACTTCTAAACTTAATCCAGAGAGACTCAGGTTTTTCTGCAGTTTCATACTGGAGCTCTGAGCAGTCATACTGCTGTCTTACGTACAATGCAACTCCTCCACCTTTTCTGCCCTGCCTATCCTTCCTGAACAGTTTATATCCATCCATGACAGTACTCCAGTCATGTGATTTATCCCACCGAGCCTCTGTTATTCCAATCACATCATAATTCCTTGACTGTGCTAGGACTTCCAGTTCTCCCTGCTTGTTTCCAAGGCTTTCTTGTAATGCCTGGCTAACAAGCATTTCTTGTAATGCTGCATATCATTTTCTTGTAATGCTGCATATCATTACCATGAGTAAATATTTTTCTTTGCTCTGTATTAGAAGTAAAGGTAATTCTGTCATTTGTATTGTTGTCAATAATCACACTTTACATTTAAAATGTAGTCCTGCTAAAAATGTATCTACTCTGAAGACCTAGTTGGAAATGAAAAATAAGTGTTGGTGCCATAACTAAATACTTTGTTTTTTAGAGATTCTTTAAAAAAAATCCTTTTCATTGATGTGAATTAGGCTTCTAATTAAACCAATATTTTTATCTTTAATATTTTCTCCAATACTTTTCTCTTTAATTTTGTTGTACCCAATATTAGATGTTATGTGACTTAAATGCTACACTACTTTGTTTTATAGCCAGCCTACAACTGCTAAACTATTAGAAAATTTCATTGTTTTGTGAGAAGAAATGCTGGCTCAGAACATACGTTGTTTTGTCACTAATTCTCCCAACACAGTAAATATTCTTTGTTTTTCTTGTTTTTAGTATTTGTATGGAAGCAATCGAAAAGACAATATATTTATTAATCCAAGCTACGAGACATTTGAGCAGGAATTAAATAAAATCCTTAAAAGTTGGCAACCAAGCATACTTCCTGATGGTAATTTTCTTTTTTGTCATGTACAGTCTTCTGTTAACAGTTCTGTACTCTTAAGCATGCAGATATACACAAACAAATATTTTGTGCCTTGTGATGGTGATTGATAACATTAAAACAAATAAATAAAACGGTAGGTGTCATTCACCTTGCCTACCTGGCCCCCGCTACCCACCCCCCCAGTCATTGCAGGGGATGAGGCCAGCCTACTGAGCAGAGCTCTGCAAAGAAGATGTAGCAGCACTAAGACAACTTAGGAAGTGGCAGGGAAAGGTGAACCTGTATCCCTTCACTCCTGTAAGACATCTGGTACAGTTTAGGGGAGGAACACCCGCACTAGCCATGCACACCCAACAGAGGAGCGAACAGAAGGCCTAGGCGGCATCACTTGTGCTGCCTCCTCTCTGCCCAAAGGTATCCGGGTCCTTTTCAGAATATAGGGGGTGAAACAAACCCCATCGTTCCCCACCCCAGGAATGGGAGAGGTAGCTCTTGGGGGATGTGAAGGAGCATTTGTGGTCATCACTCCCCCTTTGAAGCTGGAGCAGCCCTGAGAATAAGAGGAGAAACAACCCACCTCTGAAAAAAGATGGGAGAGAGTTTGGTATGTGTGAAGAGCATTGTAGGGTGCTCAGTGGGGCTGCGAAGTTAGGCACTTTGGTTACTGTGATGCACCTACCCCCATAACCTCTCAGTCTCAGCAGGAGTGGGCAGATCTCCTGTGGTGAGTCTCGGAGGGTGGGGGATGGGGGGAAATATGAGGTAGGAAGAGGAACTCATTTCTAGTCTCCTCTGCCCTCTCACCCAGTATATCAGAGTGCTGCCAGGAGAGACAAGCTCAGTGGTCCAGCTAACAACATCACTCAGGGAACTGAGCACACAAGACCAGTTTCTGTAATTCTTGTGTTCCCTGCTGTACTCCACACTCCCACAGCACTCTTTCCCATCTCTCTTTGAAGCTGGCTGTTTATAGTCTTATTTTCAAGGTTGCCCCTGCTTCCAGTTGGATGGGGGCAGTCACAATTTTTCCTTCCCAGACCTCCCCAACTGTCCCCCATTTCTGGAGTATAGGGTTGTTTCTCTCCCTATCTCTCTTTTTGGGGAATAGAGGAAGGGGTAAAAGTGCTATTTCCCAGACCCTCTCCTTTCTTCCCTCTTGAGATTGTGGGCTGTCAAGTTCCACTAGAACTTTTCTACCGCAAACCAGTGAGAAGGAGGCAGGTGCACTTTTCTTTTCTCCCTTTCCTCCAGTGATCTTAGGTCTGCTGTAGCCTCTTTAGGTAGCAACTGCTGCCCTAGCTGACTTCTCCACCTAAAGTGATACAGGAGTCTTTTCTGGATGAGACTTCTATCTGCGATCAGAAAATTGAGAGAGTCAGTCAGGGGCCCTTACATGCGCCAAAAAACTCAAAAACCCAACCCAAAACCAGAGGTTTTTTTATGAAAGGACCCAAGGTTGGTCACTTTCTCTGACCTTCACTTTTTTATGAAGTGGCATCAGTTATGAGAGTAACAATTTAAGAATCCTGTTGAAATAGTTCAGCAAAAAAAGTGTTGCTTGTGTGTCTTGCTTATGTGGAAATTGCCGTTTTCTCTTCCTGAATCAGTGGGTTTGAATTTCTCCTCTTAGGGATGTGGGCAGTTTTCCATTGAATATTGAACATTTTGTTTGATTTTTGCTGTTGATAGAAGTTGCTGATTCTTTTAAATGTGGGTTGTTTGCCTCATTGTATTTTCTCTAATACATTTTTTCCCCCCCTGGAAGGGTCAATATTCTCTCGAGTTGAAGAAGATTATCTTTGGAGGATAAAACAGCTAGGATCACACTCTCCATTTGCTCTTCTGAATACACTGTTCTACTTTAACACTAAGTATTTTGGCCTGAAAACAGTGGAGCAGCACTTAAGACTTTCCTTTGGCACCGTTTTTAGACAGTGGAAAAAAAATCCTCGAACAATGGACAGCAAAGCTTGTCTTCGATATCAAGTTTCTTCCCTATGTGGCGCAGATAGTGAAGGTATTATTATCGGTTTCAAAATAAGTATTACAGAGGCATCCAAAGTTTGCCCAACTGAGGGCCACTTTGGCACCTTGCCAGGAGCCTGAGGACTGTACCTCATTTGCATAAAACTGAGCAGCTTGTAGCTACTGGATCTTTAATATGAACGTGTGGTCTGCAGCGACTACAAGGTCCCTGCATTAAATGTTCCCTCTTGATCCAAGTAGCCTCCATGTCAAATGTTGGAACCTTGTCTATGGGCTGCATCTCCAGTATTCTGGGTTGTACTTTTGTTCACCCTAATCTATTATGTTAAATATAAAAATGAAATTACCTAATGTTTTCAAGTTTGGGCTTAGGTGGGTTTTTTCCTTTTTAAAGATAAAATTACTACTGGAAAAAGGAAACATGAAGATGATGAGCCAGTGTTTGAACAAATTGAAAACACATCAAATCCTGCTAGATGTCCCGTGAAAATGTTTGAGTGCTATCTATCTAAGAGGTAAGTGTTTCATGGACTAGTATACATATGTTTTTTAGAATTGTGAGGGTGCAGAAGGAGAGACTATTATGGTGCAATGTGAAATAAAGTTTACACAAATAAAGTGAATGTAGTGCTTGGGGAAAGAGGCAGATTGAAAGCACTGAAATTTGCAGCACAAACTTCCCCCTTCTGCTCTGCAGAAAGACACTCCATCTAGGGGTGAGAGTATGGTTTGGTTTCTATATCTATTAAATCATGAGAATCTTAGACTTGCCAACAGGAGACCCAGTTGATTCATATATTGATGATGTGTCTTGTGGTGTGCATATCTGTTCACTAATTGGACTGCAAAACAGTCTTATTTCATATAGGCCTTCGGGAAGTCACGTGATGGCAACAACTTTCAGTTACTACTGATTTCTGGATTTGGTAACCTAGGCCTATAAAGCTCCATTATCTTTTGATTCCCTTTGTTTAGATGTTAAATAAGAATGTGAATGATGTAAAAGAATACCACAAGGTATTTAAACTTGGAGAGATTCAAATGCTCAACACCAAGTTAGTGCCTTTTATTTGTGGTGATATGTTGTTATTCCAAGCAAATATTCTCTATTTTTGTTGAAGACAAGTATTTTAAGTTTTTTCTGTTACTGATTGAAAGACTCTCAAACAGCTGTAATTCTGCTCTTATTGGACTCCAGATGCATACTAATATTCTTTTGGTTTCTTCATAATGAAATAAATATTAGTTTGAGCAAACATGATCATGTTATGTCTTCCCCTGCATTCTTTATATTGCTTGTAAATTGATGAATTGGTGTTAAGGGCCCAATTCTGTAATTCTCAAGTCAGGCAAAAATCCCACTGAAAATAAGTTGCACATTAGTTACAATTTAATGAAAAGTTCTATTATGCAGGTAAATATTATGGAGTAAGTTTTTTAAAAAAATTCTAGAGTTTATTCTCATTTGAAGACTGCTGCTTATATGGTAGATTTCAAGTTCAGATTGTTTTGTTGTTGCCCAGGCAGAATACATGCTTTGAATTTTTTCACAATGAGAAAGAGTAATTTTTTTCACTAGCCCATGACTTAGGAATGGATGAATGGTTTTTCAAAAAACTATTTAATAATAATAATAATTATTATTATTAATAATAAAAAAGCTTCAGGCAGACAAAACTTATAAAATTTCATTTCAAAAGTTGAATGTTTTGGAAATGTATATAGGTGGTAGAAGACTGAAGAACTTAAAATGGGAAACATTTTACAACTTTTAAATAATCTGAGAAGTTCCATAGAAATTTCACAAAGTATAATATAAAGCCCAAAATGTTTTAGCAAACTGCACTTTATCCCTAAAAAGTGAAGATATAATTTGAATGTATGGCAGAAACAAAGTCCAAGTATAGAATTTTTACCTCTTTGGTTTCTCACTGTGGTTTTCAGTGTTCTATTAAATATTTGAAAAGCAGTTCCCATTAAATAGTCCTTGCCGTACTAAAATATGTTTGCTTAGACACTAGAATCACACACCTTGGGAAGATTGTATGTAATAGCACATTGTAGAGGTAGATTTTTGTTAACTACTGCTATGTAGCCAGTAGATGGAATATACAAAACACTTTCAAGAAACTTAATTGAAAATAGTGAAAGGAGAGCGAAAAGCAAACAATTTGAGAAGCTTTCAAAATAGCTCTTCTGTTCCTAATAATGTCACAATTGTAAAGTACAATATCTTAAAATAAGCTCTTGGTCATTTTCCCTACTGCAATTGCAGGCTGTCTCTTCTGGTCTTGTTTGCTGCCACACCTTGTTAATACCCTGACCCAATGGAGGAGAGGTTTCCTGCACAGTTGAAGTTATTTTGTAAAATACCTCTTTAAAACAACATTTAATTAAAACTGTTCTCTCAATTTTCAAGTAATGGTCCCTATATTCTGTAAGTGGGTTTTGAAACTGGTACTTGAGAATCAGTTGACAACCTGCAGCTGAAATTTTAAAGGGACACCCCTCACTTTCAGCAAACAGGTCTGATTGTTGAGAATCAGTTGAGAATATTAAAATGTTTAAATATAATATTTCAAATCTAAACAACTTCCAACAATGATGTCTGTTTCTATCAAAGTAGGAAAGTAGCTGCTCTTGCAGCTGAGTGAGGCTATGTCTACACTACCGTGGTAAGTCGACCTACGCTACGTACCTTAGGTCGAGTTACTGCGGGGTCTACTCAACGAGAGAAACTCGACCGGAGAGCGATCTGCTGTCGATTTGACAGGTCTTTGCTAGACCCGCTAAATCGACCGCCCATGGATAAATCTCAGAGCGTCGATCCCGGCTGTAGTGTAGGCCTGCCCTGTCTGCAATCTGCAAGTGCCAGTCCGAAAAAGCCAGCTAAATACTTTGAGCCAAAAAGCATGTCCCAATACTATTGGCTCTTAAAATCAGTAATATTTAAGGGGAAGGAGAATAATTTAAAAATATAATCATAAACTAGATGGGCAGCTTTGTGTTGAGAATTTCCTTAAGAATCCTCTCCACTGTCTAAGAATGCTGAGATGCATCTGAGCCACAACAGCACCAAGTTCACCAGATTTGCATGGCTCAGTAGGAAACTGCAAAGCAGCTTCATAGGAGAAACAAGAGGAACCATATAATAGGGACTCAGGAGCTAAGGCAGCAAGATAGTAAGGTCTATTCCCAACAACCAAACCTTGGAGAGAAAAGGCAGGAAAAAGGTTGTTGAGTTTCTCTCTTAAGACCGGCCATACTGGGTCACACCAAAGGTCCATCTAGCCCAGTATCCTGGCCAATCCCAGGTGCCCCAGAGAGAATGAACAGAACAGGTAATCATCAAGTGATCCATTCCAGGTCACCCATTCCCAGCTTCTGGCAAACAGAACCTAGGGACACCATCCCTACCCATCCCGGCGAATAGCCATTGATGGACCAATCCTCCATGAATTTATCTAGTTCTTTTTGAACCCTGTTATAGTCTTGGCCTTCACAGCATCCTCTGGCAGAGAGTTCCACAGGTTGACTGTGCGTCAACCTTTTTTCAATGTTAAGGAAATATATAATACTCCTCTACCTCGATATAACGCTGTCCTCGGGAGCCAAAAAATCTTACCGCGTTATAGGTGAAACCGCGTTATATCGAACTTGCTTTGATCCGCCGGAGTGCGCAGCCCTGCCCCCCCACCCCCTCCGGAGCACTGCTTTACCGCGTTATATCAGAATTTGTGTTATATTGGGTCGCATTATATTGGGGTAGAGGTATAGTTTTTAGTTTATAGAGAGCTACAGCACCTTAGATGGAAAAGCAACCTCAGCTGGACAAGAATGCTTGAAGCCATTTATGCCACCATAAGGTCCCATTTTCAAACCAGAAGGCAGTATTTTTCCACATTAATCCTCAACTCCTAATATGTATATGCACAATTATAGTTGTACACACAGGATGTTAAAAATCAAAACCTGTGTAGATTTGTCATGTGAAACTTTGACTCTTCTGACCATTTTTTTTTTCCTTTTAGCCCACAGAATCTTAATCAGAGAATGGATGTGTTCTATTTACAACCGGAATGCTCTGTTTCCTCAGATAGCCCTGTCTGGTACACTTCCACTTCACTGGACCGCAACACTTTGGAACACATGCTCGTACGGGTTCTTTTAGTAAAAGATATTTATGATAAAGACAATTATGAACTGGATGAAGATATAGATTAAAACAAACTTCCAAAAGCTGTCAGGAAAAACAAAACAGCATTAGATAGTCATGCTGCTAGACCTTTATTATGGAAACCATTTCAAGTTTACTCTTCGTTTTATGAGTTTTGTAGCAGTGTACCCTGACCTGGGTATTACCATGTAAATAATCCGTGAGTGAAAGTTGCCATTATCCTCTTACGTAGTGGTTTTAGGATACTTAACAAACACATTCAAATTCTTTTTTTTATTATTATTTATTTGATTAGGTATGTTTGTAACTTTTTACATTGCGAAATATGAATGAGAATGTGCCATGTGTAATTTTTTTTCTTGTAGTAAGAAACATCCATATTGCACAACTCTACTGTTGCAAGCTTCCTTGAAAGGAGGCTCTTTTACTGGGTTCTTCAACCAGATGGTTGTGTATGGGTAGCACTACTAAAGTTTAGAACTTGCTGTGTCTTTCAGAATTTTTAAATAAATTGTAAACTAATAGGTTTTTTACTTTTTAGTTACTGAAGCCTTATAAGGTTATGTAGAGAGATTCCATCTTATGTACCAAAAATAGACAAAAGAGAATGCTGTCAATATTGGTGTACTGTAATGTGAATCTATACTGGTGAAAACAACTTTTTTGTTGCCCTTATTAAAACCTTAGTGTCCTTTCCTTATTTGTGACTCTCTGAATTGCCCCTTCAAATAAAATATATATTCAAAATGAGTGTAAGCGTAAGGCATGTGATCATCTAGACATCTATTTTGCAAAAATGTCTGATGACAATGCTATAATTTTCTTTTCCATTTTTATTTTGCCAAACATAAATGCTGGTACCCCATATTTCTGTACATCAGTCCTTCATAGCCTTAGCAAAAGGACTTTAATGCAGTATTACAAAAAGTAATACAGTATACTACATTTTTAAACTTTCTTCATTTGTCATTGCTATGCTGTACTTAAATACAACTAACATTTGATTATGGGTTGTGAGAGTTCTTTTAACTAATGTCTCCATTAAAAAAACAGAAGATGCATGAAGTGGCAGAAAGTCAAAAGATAATTTTAAAAAAATCTGCTGTCCTTTGTTCTTTGTTCAGTATATTTATTTTGCATAAGGAATCTGATTTCCAGATGTATATGTTCAGCCTCTAAAGTTTTGTTTGTTCCCTGCTCTTGTTTGACTAATGCAGGCAATATGGTGGTTTGTGCAATGATATTTCCTGTAGTACTCAAGAAATCATAGTACAGCATTCTACTATAAAGTAGGTAATTGGTATGGTGTTCCTAATGATTTAAGAATCTATTGATAACTATCAATTATTACTGAGATGAAAGAAAGAAAATTGTTTTTATGTATCTTATCGCCATGAGATTCATTTCCTGCAAAGATGCACGACTTTTTCATTTTCCTTATTATAGAAGAATGGACATAGGGATGCTTACTTCTACAAAGAAATAAAGCTGTGAGCGCTTTGTTTTGATAAAGAAATTTATTTAAATTTCTGCTACTCTCTTCTGACCATGAGTATGTATTAACTTTAGATATACTACTAATAGAAAAGCAGATGAATATACACATTTTTAATTTCTTTATTTTGATTGGTTGAATTGGCACCAGGTCCCCCAAAATGATTACAGTTGTTCCATTGCCTGGAAAATCAGGCAACGTTTCACAGCACTAGTCAATAAATTATCTAACACAGGGGTCGGCAACCTTTCAGAATGGTGTGTCAAGTCTTCATTTATTCACTCTAATTTAAGGTTTTGCGTGCCAGTAATACATTTTAACGTTTTTAGAATGTCTCTTTCTATAAGTCTATAATATATAACTAAACTATTGTTTGTAAAGTAAATAAGGTTTTTAAAATGCTTAAGAAGCTTCATTTAAAATTAAATTAAAACGCAGAGCCCCCCCGGACCGGTGGCCAGGACCTGGGCAGTGTGCCACTGAAAATCAGCTCGCGGGTCGCCTTCGGCACACATGCCATAGGTTGCCTACCCCGATCTAACATATAATGCTCAGTAATCTGTTGACTGTTGCTGTGAAATGTTTCCTGATTTTCCAGGCAATGGTGCAACTTCAGTAACTAAAACATTACTTAATGCTTGTTTTTTTCAAGCAACAGCAGTACAAAATACTCATGAGATAGAAAAGTTACTCGATTGTAAAATAAATTTCAAGCACTATAATCACAATTTTAATATTTCTATGTTTTGGGAACTAAGTTTCCAATTCTGTGAAGTACTTAAGTACAAACTTAACTTTAAGCAAATGAATAGTCCCATTGAGTTCAGTGGGACTACAATATTACTAACCTGCTTAAAATTAAACATTTGCTTGAAACCTCAGGTCAGCAAAGCACTTAAGTATACGCTTAACTTTGAGAGATAAATTTAAACTATAAATGTTTAACTCGTTACGTATATGCTTAAGTGCTTTTGCTAAAAGCAGTAAGAGACCCAGTTTCAGGAGGGTCCATAAGCATGTGCTTATGTCCATCCCTGTTGAGGACAACACTTTAGCACTGATTCAAGAAAGCACTTAATGTTTGACTCTGTGCTTAAATTAAGTATATGCAGGCATGTTTTGCCTGAATCAGAAGCTAACCCAGTGTCCTCAAAATCTGATTATGGATATCCTTTAAGTAAATAAGGACTCTTGTTAATATGACATACTGGAGACTAACCTACATTGTTTTCTATTTCCTAAGGAAGTGATGACTGAAGTCTATTAGAAATCAAATTATTGCCATAAATTTCTCCCATTCTCTACCCCAGTTCCACTCTCCAATAAAAACACAACCATAATTTAGGCAGGCTTTAAAATAGAAGTTTTTACATATAGATCCACGTTGGTAATACAAAGATGGCTGACATGAAAATAACTTATTCCAGAAGATGGAGCTATTCCATCATTAGCAATAATGTTTATTCAAGTAGTGTATTTAGATCAAACATTGTAAACTGTTGGGATACTGTAGTCAAGTACACATCATGCCTCAATGTATACATGTTATTACATAATTTCTAAATTTTAATGGTGATGCAAAATGCAATAAACAGCCTTAGCTTTAAAAATTAAATAAATGCAATTTTGTAATAATTAGGAGTTGAGGGCAAATACTTTTTTCTTTTTAAAGACCGTTGCTAGTCCAGTTCTTGACTATCTTGGTTCCAAGGAACAACATGAAGAAATAAATTAATGTGTAGGAATGTATAGCCGTCTTGTTTCATATCGGGTGTCTAGGTTAATGGCATGGATCAATAATTTGCTTGACACCTCCTACCCCCAATCTTGTGCAGAGTAAAGAGGGAAGTGTGAAGAAGTACCCTGGCTTTCTTGGCCATTGGTGTTAACTATGGTACAGCTCACCTTAGTTAGAAATATAACTTGGTAACTAGTCTGCTGTACACAGTCGGTTGTCTGTGAGATACCCCTTCTTCCTCCCCCCTCTCCGAGGTACTGGTAGCATGTGCTAGCCTAAATACATAATTTTTCTGCCATGTCCCAAAATCTGTCAGCATGTGCTAAATGTCTCCTTTTCTGCATGAAGAAAAAGTTTTATCTAGAGAACCAAATCTCCCAAGAAACCTATATTTTTAATAATAATTAAAACAAAGATGGCAGCTTGAAGATACTGAGAGAATTAGAGTGGCAACACTAGGCAAGATGTAATGCAAATACAATTTTAGTGAAAATTTTATACAAAGGAAAAGTTCCTTTCTGAAAATTGTAAGTAGTAATATTTGTTTTTCTATTAAAATGATGATTGCTATGCCGTGGCATTCTGGGCACGGAAAGAAAATGTATGTTATATAAGTAAACCCAGGCTTTTGTAATTATTGGCTTATGATATAAAGCACAATGAAGACTTGTAAGAGTTAACTTTTAATTGGGCAAAAAGTAGTTGCGTAGATAACCTCAACATTTAACATATCAATTGAGAAAGAGACTGAAAACATAAATCTAGAATGCAATAATAATTTATTTGTATTACTGTACTGCTCGGGGGCTCCATTATGCTAGGTATTCTGTACAAATATATATAAAAAAACATGATTCCTGCCCCCCAAAGAGTTTGCATTCTAGAAAAAGGACACAGACAAAAAGCACGTGTATGGAGAGGACGAAAGATAACATACAAGCAGAATGATGCTAGGCACACATTTTAGTTCCATATTTTCTTGTATATATTTTAAATTTTTAGCTTAACTACTACTTTCGGCTATTCTGTTTTTTATTAATTTTGGTCTAATGTTCTTTTAAATAGACAAAAATAGAATTTCAGACCTCTTTAATCAATTTTATTCCAAAATAATGAATCTTGTAGAGAATATAGATTGGGGGCTGCTGTTCTCCCACTTGTCACATAAGTGAATTACACAGTAGCAATGAATTATACAGTAGCAATTTTAAAACTGATAAAGTACTCTTTCCACACAACACATAATTATGTCAGTGAGTTCCCTAATCTAAATTGTCATGGAGGTGAAGAATTAGCAAGATTCAAAGAGGGATTGGACATTTATATGGAAAACAAGACTATCGGAATTATAATACTAATAAAATTTTGGAAGGGATATTAAATGTCATTCTTAAAACTTTAAAACAATCTCTAACTATTAGGGTTTAGAATGAGACCTTCATCAAGGTAGATGATCTCAGAGCTGCCATGCTGCAGGGGTGGGTTTGGTTTTGGGGGGTTTTTTTGCACTTCCCCGTGAAGTTTCTGGTACTGGCCACAGACAGAATACGAGACTAAATGGACCTCAAGTCTGATCCAGTCTGGCAGTTCTTAATTTGCCAAATTTTCATGAAAGGCCTCTGCTTGAAAGACCTTGCATGATATGCAGATTATACCAAGAATCCCACAATCCACTGCTCCAATGCACCCAATCTTCGCGTGAAATGTGGCAAGTGTCTAACAGTGCATAATAACACTACAAACTGCTTGACAGAGATTAATATTTACTCTTTTTGAGCACTCAGAAGTATGTTAGGCACCTCACAAAATTAAGTGGGGGTTAGATTTTCAGTTCTGCTCTGCTTTTTGTACTGCTCAGATGGCAGAGAATTGAAACTGCCTCTTGGAGATTCCAGGTGGGGGAATCCCCAGTGGGTATACAGCACCTCCTATTCAGTATAAAAGGCAATGGCTGGGTCATGCTGTACACCAGTTATCCTCTATTTGTGAGGAGTCCCTGGGGATAGATGGGATAGATTAGAGCAGTTTGAAGGCTCTTTCTTCAGTTTTGTTTTTGTGAGGTGCTGAATACAAGTTTGGAGCATGTCCTGAACCGTGTGTAGTGTTATAAAATATTAGACAACTTCAGGCTGCTCTAACTTAATTCAGCATCTGGGCAGAAAATCTGGGCATTGTAACAGTTTCCATGATGTCCCTTCCTCTTCGTTGTGCTGAACAGCTCCTGGCCACAGCAAAGATTTTAGCTTGTGGTCCATGCCCAGAAAAGTAAAAATGTAACATGATACAGCTGAGGTTCATCAACAGACAAAAAGGGGCAGATACAGACAGGAAGGACCAGCGTGATAATCTCATCTGTTCCTTAGCTCAGGGCTAGTCTTCGCTACTGGGGTAAGTCAACTTAAGTTACGCTACTCCAGCTATGTGAATGACGTAGCTGAAGTTGATGTAACTTAGGTCGACTTAACCTGGTGTTTTCACTGTGCTGCATCGACAGAAGACGCTCTCCAGTTGACT